ATAAAATAGACATTTATTGCGTCGTATTTACCTCCACCACTATCTAGGTACAAACAGGCACAGCTATAAGCTCTTTACGATGACGTTTATCTGCAATCTATAAAATTCCATAATATCACATTGTATTTAACTTTTTTTACGGATAAAACAGTTTATATTGCACGAAAACATTTGATATCGCTATAACTCTGTTGTTTTATCTGAAAATAAAAAATAAAAACGTAAATATTGAGCGCTTATACGACAATCAAACAGCCTCGTTTTAATTATAGATTTATCGAATATAAACTAAAATGCCAGCAATCAATCCGTCGACTTTTACGTCGCGTCGTATTTTTATCACTTCCAATATTGTTTTCATTGCGTTGTACTTGTACAGCCCTTCAAATCGTAAAAAAAATACAAATACAAACTCTTTCAGTCGTAAAAATAGCTACCTTTTGCTTTTTACACATCTTTTGCATATTGCAAAACATCGCTGTTGTCGCAAAATTCATCGAATGCGAAATTATTTTTCTCGGAATTTAAATATCGAAGGTATGCGTATTTTTCCGACGCAAAAGTCGAACGCATTACGGAAAAATACACCGCAGGGATAAATATTTCCTTCCGCGGGCGAAAATATGGAAAAATCATTCCGATCCAAGTCCGGGGTGAAACTTAAACCAGAAAGTTTGCGCGTTCTTGATATTTCGTTTGTGCTTTTTATGTGCACTCCGCGGCGCGCTCAAGTGTCCCTCGCGGATAGATAAATCATGCAGGCAAACGAATATATGAATGGAGAGCATTTCTTCTCGACTTTCACACAGGTTTCGCGTTCGCAACTTGGCGACGTCTCACTTCACATCGGTCAGCGGTGGAATTACATCCAAACGTCAAGTTTACTAAAGTAAGAAAAAAAAAATGGTTTTACGGTTTTAATTTCAAATATTCAGCGAGCCGCGTCACGTTTGAAGATCGCTTTGTCTGGCTGCTCGCCGAAGCGTCTGTCGTGTTCATAAACTTTTCGCTTTTTGAAAAATTCGTTGCCATTCGCGTCGGACAGTCGGACCCTCTCTTTAAACTTGTTCGCTGACTTGTGCAAAAAATAAGTTCGGCGCAAGCCATCTATATTCGAACCGGCTGAATGCTTGAATGCTTGAAACAAAGCAACGAGCAAGAAAGTAATTAAAATTCGTGCTCTCTCTTCAGCTATACTACACAATATAATGATTAAACGTCCTGTGCGCCACGGTTATCGTAGTTAAATTTTTTTCTCGTCGTTTTTCGTTTGAAGAATCGTGTTGCGCTGCTTGTCGCATCGGAAATTTTAAAACTTTTTTCAAAGACTACAAAACCATAGAAAATGAATGCATTTCGCTGACATAAATTATATCTCTTATTGGACGTTTCCGTAGAGTAGAAAATGATAAATCATCAGTGTGATAGGCCGCGGCTGGTAGTTATCGACGAATCGAAACTTTTAGTATTATTTCGAATTTCATTTCTCAGCGAAGTCGAAGAAACTTTAATTGACTCTTGTTATCAGTTTGCGTAGCGTTCGTTTTATTCAAAACTGTCCGTCTCATTTTCTGCTGCCAGAGAGAAGTATGTATATATATTCTGATCATTAATTTTGCTAATCGCTGGAGCTAAGCCTTGGAAAATGTTCAAGCTTTTTTCGGTCAGATAATGTCGGTAGATGTGGATGAGGAAGGGGCTGCAGTGGCGGCGGTGATTACTACATCATTCGGATTCTTACAGGCTCGTTCTAAATGAAACTAATGGCGTCGGAAGACTAGAAAATTTAATCGCGGTCCAATTAATTTTCATAATAACCGCAAGGTTTAATTATTATCTATTGTTTTGAAGAAGAGGAGGTATTAAGGAGCTATTAGGTTTTATTAATTTAAAGAATTTGTAAAAAAAGTTGGAAAAAAATTTTTTAAATTCGAAAAAAATATTTGAAATTGCTTTGTCAATATTTTATTCGGTGAATAAGATGCGCAATTAATTTCTGTTTGAAATGATGTATTTATCAATTCTGCATGTTTAATACTTTTGGAGATATTTAGTTTCGAAAGAAGTTTTTGTATTTTTGGAAAACCGTTGAATTAAGCAACAAAAAAAATAGAAAAAAAAACTTTAAATTTGACTATAATCTCAAGATATTATGTTTGCCAATTTATTTTGGTTTTTATTTTTTTAATTTGTTGCATTTTCTGACAGAAATAGCAAAAATATAAAAATTTACATTAAAAATTCCCAAAAATCTATTTTTTTAAATTTTAAGTTAAAATATTGATCTTTTAATGAAAATAAAAAATCATATGCAATGATGAGACAAACATCTATCTACGTTAACTTCCATGCATCTTTTTAATTAGATGTTGCATTATTATCCACACACTCTTCACCGGCACAACATTAAAACATTAAAAATGTACCGTCACCATGGTGACATTAGCGTAGCCATGTGCATCCAAACATGGCTGCGCACGTACGCCATCACGCTTAATTTATATTTATTAGATTCACTTTTAACATGGCGCATGTTATGCTCCTTCCGGACCAAGTTTTGCACTTAAATTACTTTCCCGCCTCACTTGTCCGACGCGTTGTCTCCGCTCGTAATTAACGCCGACGCACGCAACATCAAATTGAATTAGACATTGAGACGATGTCCATTTCATTGTGCGCAAGATGTCGCCGAGTTTCTGCACATATTGTAAACATGAAATACGAAAGGAGTAGTACGTTGAGCAGGAGCAGAGAAGGAGAAGTGTTTGTTTTATATGTGGCAACATCATTCGGATGTGTCACTTCGGGACGACCATATATAAACGTTTACTTCACAAGTGGCGTGTCCTAACATGTATCTACGTCAAATAATAATAACAAACGACGGCGCAGGCAAAGCGCCATGGTGGCGGCACGCAGTGTAGAACAAAACAACGAGATAAATTGGTAGTCGACTGACTGGGCGGCGGACTATTTACCTCACGCACACAATTCGCGTTCAACAACAGACAAAACGGCGTGCATTTATAAATAGTAACACTGTAGGCACGAGTTTGACGTGTATTTGTTATGGTTTTATCAGTGCGACGATTTGGAAATAATTAAATCGTTAATTAGCAATATGCAGGAGTCAATTTACTCAAATTTCACCTTTTTAGATACAAAAAGTGGTGCTTTAATCACGGACAACCAAAGCCGTGTCTAAAGTGTGACTAAAGTACTTTAGTCACGGAATATCAAAAACAAAGCAGATAAAAATTGTCGGTTGGAAACATAACCTCAAAATTTACATAATTTTTGCAAAATATTTTAATTTGTAATAAAATTACGGATTTATGCTATTAAATTATTATTATATCAAAAACAATATTTATGTGCGTATTTCCAACGAATTGCGTTTGTAAATACACAAATTGACAAATTTCTAAGAATTGTTTGATTAATGCACTGCGTATGACACAAAACGTTACACGAGTCACATTAACAAACGCTACGAGTGCTTTTAATGATTTCCGTGAATGATAAATGACTGCACTCTGTTAATTTGTAGCGCGTTGGGTTTATATGCATTTAAAAACAATTTCGGAATTTCAATTCAACAATGAAAACATTCCGCAAAAGTAATTAAAATGCCTTTTTGTTGATAAAACAACAAAAAAACATTCGAATAATAATCCACATTCATGCATTTCACACATTTCATGACAATTTTTTTGAAACGCAATGTAATATTATTTTATTATGAACAATAAAATGCTTGGTGTTTACAGGTCAAACCATCCGAATGAAGCTTGACACAGAAAATTAATTTTCGTTAGAAGTCTGCGCGCGGCACAAATTTCTAATTAAATTCCGACAAATTTTCCTCCGAAGTTACCATTAACTCCGCGTCGTCCTCGCTCGTGAAACCGAAACTTTAACACGAGCCTCATACGCGTAATGCTAAAGAAACAAGTTGTCGGCAACGTGATTCCTAATGGATATATGTATTAGCTGTTTATGCGTGAAATGGGTTAAAGCCTTGCCAGACGAAGAAACTTGAACCCTGGTGTACATTAATGTTGCTTTTGATAGACTGTGCAAGGACATCCGTCACAAGGACACACTCGTGGCTCAAGCGCGGGGCATGCGCGAGCTTTCGTTTGGAAAATCATTTGAAAAGGCGGCCGTATTGTCAATGCGAATGTGTTTTTTTTTACACCAAACGAAAAAAAAATTCATTAATCAAACGCTGTGTGCACAATCTCGGGGATGAAAGTTAATCGAGCTTCCAGTCGCTATTTATGCAAATCGAAGGGCGCTGAGCTTTGAAGAAAAAAAATAACATGGTACAAAATCAATCTGTGTACTTATTTGAAAATTAGGGTGATGTCGATGTGAATTATTCATGTATCTCATATTTTCCATACAGGATGATTGATGTTAATAAATATTTGCAGTTTAAAATATTTTTCTTGAAAAGGAAAAAATAATTTGGTAAAATTCGAATATTTTGGAAATTTTAACACATCGACACGTTTTTTACTTTAATTTTTTGATAAATCTTCTCTATTTTTTGGAAAAAATAAAAATTTACATTTAAAAATTACAAAAACTTTGTTTTTAAATTATGAGTTAAATAATAGTATATTAAGTATCAAGTGCGCTAAGAATCACTTTACTCACAAGTACTTTAGTCACGCCTTTAGTCACCCATGTCTAAAGTACAATTTTTGTATTTCAATACCGTGAAAAAAGTGGTGTTTTATTGGAAAAGTAAAAATTTTTTTTAATTTAAAAATTGTCTTCCGATTATATGTAGTTATTTAAATGATTCCAAAACAGTAAATTCTACATTCCTCCCTAAAACAATTTCCCAACACACATAATATTTCCCCACCCTTACGTAATGAAACAATATGCCATACGCAGTAAAATTTAATACATACCGGGCTGCCAGTTTATTTTTCACACTGCAATCCAGCGCCATAAATAAAACATGTCCGTGCTTTGCATTGCAGGATTACAACGATGACATTAGGCAGGAGCAAATGTGGGAAATGCAGGTGCTGTCCAGCCAGCGCAACAACAACAAGGGCGACGAGGCGAGCGGCAGCGGCGGCTCCAGCTCGGGCACCGAGTATCCCAACGACGACCGGCTCAGCGCCGACACGAACGACGGCGGTCCGGAGAGCCCCCAAGAGGAGCATCCGGCGCTGCGGGGTCTGCAGCCAGGTGAGCTATATAGCGCCCAATTACCACCGTCAGCCTATTGACCGATTCCCAGCGCGTTACTGCAACCGACATTTGCAAACACGACTTTTTTTGTTGCATCATCCCGACGACGCGACACCCGCTGACAACTGTAAGCATTCCCGCCGGGAGGCAATTTAGTGTGGAATTTGTTAACAAATTTAAAAGCGTAATGACAAAGAATATCAGAAAAATAAAATTAATTAAAATTGGTAACATGAATCGACGTAAAAGTGCATTTTTTAAATTTTGTTTTTAATTTTTAATGTTTATTTTACACTTTAAATGTTAAAATTTTGCAATAAAAAGTAGTCTATATTTTTCTCACATATCTAAACTATGTCCATACCAAAATTCATCAAAATTACTCAAGTGGTCTAGGCGTTAACGAGTGTCAAACATACATCCATCAATAAAACCTATACTTAAATTAAAACAGATGACGTATATTGACGTATAAGATGCATTTTGCAAGTCCAGAGTTCACACAAGACTCCATGGACTGATGAAAACCATCCACTGAGATGCGCCATCCTTTTTGCTTAAAGTCTAATGAATTATTCAATATTTGACCTCAGCGCCGTGTCCGAACTCTATTGTGAGTAATGACTTGCCAGTATTAACCTTTCTTAATACCCTCGCCGACGCTATCACTACGTGCAGGAAGACGGCAACGAAATATAAAGGAGATTCCTCAAAGTATCCGAATTTTTCCCTCTCATCTCCATGGCCACCACTTGCGCCTTCTCACCGTGCAGAAATTTATTCTTGGGCAGTCCGCTCACCAGCGCGAAATTACACCCAAATATGTTGTGTATTAAATGCTTCACATTCCAGCGCTGCGTCGGCTTGTAATAATACAGAAATAAATTCCTTAAGACAAAAATTCAATAAAGCTAATAATATTCAATCGAAATGAAATTTAGAACGAAATATTATGCAATATATTAGGCAGGCGTGAGCAGGCGTGTTGTACATAAATGACAGCTTTAATTAAACACAGTCTAATTTATTCAAGACGCAGGCATGTGTCTCAAATGGCGTAAACGTAAATTTAAATTGTCAGTAACAGAACGATTATTTATCAGTAGGTACTGAATTTCGGTTACGGGCCGCAGGCATGACGCCGCTAATTAAATATATTGGCCTGGTGCGCGAAATTAATTCATTAATATGAAAATTTTGTTATTTTACCGCAAAAGTATTTTGTGCATTCATTTGAATATTAAATTCTGTGAAGCAGAATTTATTTTCAGGTATCGAAGAGTATAAAGCTATATATTTATCATTTTGGGCGTTTTTGTTTTTTAATAAATCAGAAAAATGCAAATGGGTGCATTATTACGCCATCTAGGTTTGAATAATTTAAGTAGGACTATGATTTATTCTCTTTTTAAACTTTTACTGTTTATTTTACATCTTTTGAGATGTTTTTATACAATTTAAAGTAGTCTATGTTATTTTCATATATTTAAACTATTTTTATACCAAAATTCATCAAAATTACTCAAGTGGTTTAGGCGTGAAAGAGAAACAAACATTCGCCAATCATAAAAATCATATTTATCAGGTCATATTTGTACTATTAATACAAATTAAATATATATCTTTAAGCAGGTGGTCTAAAAATATAGAATAACAATAATATTTCATGATAACTAAAATAATTCCACATGGAGCAAACAAATGAAGAGGGTTTTACTTGTGAAATTGTAATAGGCAACTTTAATTTCCATTCTAAGCCATTTTCATATTACACATAGCTTTTAACATATAAAATAACTCAAGCAACGTAGGAAATGTCTTCGACATAAATTCCCGTCTATCTCATTCGGGATGTGCTCCCCGCGGCTAACAAAGAACGACACATATTTCTAAAGCCACTGCACCTGCGCTACACATCTTAATTTTGTTTCATAATGTATTCCGGTATGTCTGTTTTCACATTTTGTGTACATTAAACACAACACAACCGTCGTCAACGAAGCACGTCAAAATTTAATTGATTTATGACACCGCCTGCGCCGCCTCCGCAGCCCTTGAGTGCGCGCACTTTTATTAAAACGTTTTTAATAATGCTGCGTGCTGCTAACGTTGTAAAATTCTAAAATGATAATGCGATTGCGTTTAATCACTTCTTAACGTTGTTATTATTCAAAGTTTTAATCATTTCCCATCAAATCCGTCGCTTAACTAATTCAATGGAAAGCTAATTACTGGGCTAATTGTTCGACGCGTTTTCTTACTGATTGGCCGTAATTAGAGTAGCACGCGCGTCTAATTAATTCTAACTATAGTCGCGCCGCAGCGTTATTAGACGAAATTAATGACCGGTCCAGGGCGGCGAGGCGCCTCGCGCTGCATTAAAGCAACATTACATTACTTACACATAGGTAGTACATCTAAAGACTCGAGTACGACAAGATCATAAATTACAACAAACAACAACAACAACAACAACAGGAGATCTATCATTTTCATATTATGTATGAGCCCGGCGGCGAGATTGCGGCGCGTAGCATATGGGGTGGCAAATCTGGGGGCGGTGGAGATGCAGATGTGAAGGGCTTCATCAAGATGCAAACAAATGTTACGCATGCTCAAGGCGACAACAACAATTTATGTCAAAATACATTGAAAATAGTTCAGAAAAGAAGAAATTCAATTTTTCTTTTTATTTTTGGTTGTTTCTGTGATTAATTTGCTTTTTTCGAAAGAAAAAAATAGCGTAATATTTTGACATTGACGTATATTACCAGCATAACCTTATGTTGCGGTCCGTTGTCCACCAGAGGGCGCGGCAGTACGTTTGACATACGTTTATTGCTAAAAAGCGCGTTTAAAATATTCTCCTTGAAAATTACAATGTTTAACCACTATAAATTACGTTTTAATAAAAAAATATATAAATATTAAAATAAGCTAACCATAAATTACATTTTTTCTCAGAAAATAAATGTTTGGATTTTAAAAATTCCCTCAGTTGTTACAAAACGTTTACCTTCCGCTCTTGACCCAGTTCCAAACACGTTAAAAAATACACTTAAGCACTGCTAGTCCTCCTGACCCCGATATTCTTAATTGCCAGGTGTACTTGTACGTCCCTATTATGCGCTACCTGCCACCGCGAGTTTAAATTTTGCTAATGTAGTTGTTTCTGTTTTCTTTTCTTGTATCAGTTACCGCCTCGCCAATGGGCACCGACGTGACCGCCACCGCCAACGGCATGAACAACGGCCAGACATCGCCCAGCAACGGCGCGCCGCCAGCGGCCGCCACTGGCGTCGGCAGCACGCACTCGGGGGTGGCCGCCGGGCGCAAGCGACCCCTGCTGGCGGGCGGCCCGCGGACCTCCATGACCCCCACCAAGCGGACGGTGATGAGCCTCCTGGCGCGCGCCCGCGCCGCGCAAGCGAAACAATTACCGACCACCTTTCAGCGAGGAACGCCCGAGTAAGTCCCAATGCCACCCCCAAACCCCTCAGACTTATTTGTCAGACGATAAAATTTATAAGAGTAGGTTTAAGGCTTAAATCATGATACGCAGAATTAAGTTAAAAAGCGGGGCGGTCGACGAGTCATCAAATCTTTATAAAGCGGGACATTGCGGTCATGCATACTGGGTCAACCATAAAATATATGACTTCATAAAACGTTAATAATTTCATCTTCATGATGAAGTAAAATTATTAAATTTGATATCCGTCGCGGAATGGTTTTACTGAGCAGTTATCGGACGTTCAAGTACATTTTATATCATCTACTTTTTTTTTCTTTGAATGTTTTTACTGAGAATGTTTTATTATCGTCGCCATCACCGCAGTATTTTAGTAATAAACAGTATAACACTAGGAATAATTTTTGTAAAAAATAAAATTTACCAATATCCAATTTTAATTGCGTGTAACTTTTGTTCAAATAAAAATATCTTCTTAACTATTACATTATTGGATAGAGAATTTAATTTTGAATCAACCACAGAAGAAATAAATAAATTATCACATTTTGTTGTTTAGTTATAATGAAAAATATAGCAGCAAACAGCAATTCTTTTGTGAATACAAATTTTACCAAAATTCAACTTTAATTGCCTGTAACTTTTTTCTAAATTAAAATATCAAGCTATTTTTTTCATAGTTTGGTAGAGAATTTAATTTAGTATCAAGTACAAAAGAAATAAATAAATTATTCCTATTTATTTCTTAGTTATGACAAAAAATGTAAAATTATTTTTTGCACGTCAAAGCAAAAATATTACGATTTTTTTATTATCGTCGCCTCCATGGCAGTTACACTCTCCCGCCGCCGGCGGCGGTAATTTTCCATAACGCCCACTTCACCTTGTTGTTCCATTTTTATTTCGCTAACTTCTCTACTTACTTAAACCAACAAATCTCCCCGTGGATTATTCGCACGATCCGCAACAAAACAAAGCACATCTCTCGCCATCTCGAGTTATATGATTACTGAAACAAATATTTACTTTTTTGGCGTGGAAGTTTCCGAAAAGCCGGCTTTAAATATGACTCGTCCGTGTTATTGATGACTAGCTTGAGCTGGGTTGGATTGAATTGTCGCGCCGGTGGAGGTGGCGACGACGCCCGCATCAAACTTTTACGCGTCAACGTGATTTCCATTGCAAACGAGCCGTGGCAACTCGTCGAAGGGATTTTGCGTTACAATGTAATCCTCGCACAATCGAGGCGGGTGAGACTTTGGCGAACTTTCGCTTTAGTTTGCACTAACTGCGGACGAACCCTTTCGGCAAGTGCGCACAATACCACTCGCTCTGCAATTACGCTATTCGTACATTCTGCTTACATGCGAGAACTATTTAATCAATCATATTGCACACGAATTCATTATTTATACTCGTTGAGTTGAAACAAAAGTTTTTTTGTTTTCTTTTTGGTATAAAATAAAGTGTGGATCGATTCGATTGTGATGCAAAATTTGGAGTAAAAAGAAGGATGTGATTGGAGATACCGGGGATCGAACCCGGGGCCTTTCACATGCAAAGCGAACGCTCTACCACTGAGCTATATCCCCTGGTGGCGGGTCTTGCGAAGTAAATTAAAGGACTAACCTTATTTTAACAGTTTTTATGTTAAAAATAAATTTGGGAGAGAATAAATGTTTATTAATTAAGAGGGATTTTTAGGGAACATAAATTTTACAATTTTAAGTAAATTGCTTGTAAAAGTAATTTTTTGTCTTTTTTCAATAAAACTTAAATATTTTCAAAAGTATTAATGTCACAGCATTAAATAATATACTGTATGAAAGAGAAATTAATTACGCATCTTTTGGCTTTTGCAGTTTTAGATATTTGCAATATTTTAGAAATAAAAGACAAAAACCATTTTTTATCAAATATTTTACTTTTAATACAAAACCTAACCTCAAACTTGATTTTGACATTTGACAGATCAAACCTATAACCTAAAATAAGCTACATAACCTAATTCACTAATTTTGCAAACTTGTACGCAAATCTTTGCCAAAAATCTTTTACGCTAATTAAGTGTCCTTTGAATTAATTATGTTCTTGTTTGTTTCCAGACGTACGACGACACTGGTCCCCCTGCTTCGTGAGGACTACCTAACCGGCACCGTAAACTTAAACCTAATCTAAGTTGATTGCGTTTCGTTCGGCAAATGTGTGTAAATTAGATTGTCGCAATTCGTTTCCGCGATGACGGTTCAGTTCGAAAGTCTGGAAGGCAAACAAATAAATCGGCCGCAACTTTAGTGGGTCGACGGATCGATCGGCGCATGAAGTTTATTTTAATCCGACGCCGTGGGTAACGAGAGCTTTGTTTTTGGCGAATTCGTCGATTACGGTCTTGGTTGCTATTTTTACGCTCGTTCGACGCTAACGAATTTAAGATTGGACTAGACATATCCAACAAGCAAATGTTCAAGACCAGACACGTACAATCAACAAAACAAAACAAGAAACAATCGAAACAAGTAAAAAGGCTTCGGAATAAATTTTGATACTTTGGTGCAAGAATCGAAGACACAGCTCGTTACAAAATGCAAAAAAAAAAAAAATGACTCCGACTGCGTGTTGATTTAAATTTAATTCGTAGTTGTTTATCTCTCGTTGTGCCAAGAGCGTAATCGTAAAAATCTTTTATTCCACTTTTTTTATTCCACCGAAGTTTTTCGAAAAGTTTTATGTCATCACCACACCAGCCGCACGCACCTACACTCGACAATGACGAATCGCTGCGAGTGCACGGCGCGAGAATAAAATATTTATTACGCTAAAAATTTGTTGTGCGCATTTTCCCACGTGGATGGCGTGGCGGTGAAGGGCAGAGGAAATTGCGATGCGGATGATTACCTACGTACATACATTTATAAAGCAAAACACCAGTCAGTCCATCTTTAATCAATTATATTAAAACAATGCACGGACCAACTAATAATCTATAATTTTATTATTAAGATTAATCAAATGGAAACTATTATATTACGCTAAATTAAATTTACAAAAAATATAGTGAAATTATATACATACATACTAAAATTATCCAATGCTTGATTTTTGGTTGAATTTAGTCGAAAATGCAATCAGAATCAAAGAAAAATAGATTTTTTGAATTTTTTGTTAAATTGTGCAGTTGCGGCTATTTTGTTTGGCACTAAAATAATTTTACTTTTATTCTATTATTTTGTGAGTAGATAAATTTAAAAAAGTAAAAACATTGTAAATTGGTTGAGTCATTTTTTAGTTATGGACAGTTAAACATTATCGACTTTTTTTGTGAAATCAAAATTTACTAAAGTTAAATTTTAATTGCTTGTAACTTTTTATCAAATTACAATATCAAAATAATTTTTACATAAGTGAATAGAGAATTTAATTTTAAACCAAAAACAGAAGAAATAAATTAATTATTGTTGCTCATTGTTTAGTTATAACAAAAAATATTGAAGCATTACCTATAACTTTTTATTAAACTCCAATATCAACATAATTTTTTAAGAACTTGATAGAAAATTTAATTCAAATTCAGAACAGCAAAAATAAATTAACTGTCGCTATTTATTTTACAGTTATAACAAAAAATATAAAATTATTTTTGTGCGTCAAGCGAAATTCCCGCAACTATACATAGTTAAAAATGATTAAAATTAATATTACGCCGGTTATTAAATGTATAAATTTTATAATCACAACGAATATGTCAAATATGTCAAATTGGCCGGATGGATTGAGTACGAATAAGTCTTGAATTTAATCGGAATGCAATCGAATTGAATAAACGCTGCAAATTGCATAGCGCTGCGAGTTTTTAAGTTAAAACGTGAACAGTATTCGCAGAAAAGAATTTTCTAATAAAAACTATTGACTATTGCATACTACAATGAGCAAATTTTGTTTTTCTATGAATAAATATAGAAGCACATATCGAAATGCTAACAACTATTGTTAGCGAGTGTAAGAGACACACAACATTTTGAAAATATGAAAATCTTTATAAAACCAGATAAAAATGCAAAAGGAATGGAGATTTTTTCACACAAAAATGGCTGGAATTTATGGAACCACGGATTACGTAAACGGGATTAGCACGTAACGAATGTTAATATGAACAATATATTTGATAAAGTAAGCGTTAAACTTAAAGCCCCTAAACTTAAAACACACACAAAAAGTGGATAAAAATATGTCAAAAACAAAAAGCTAAACAGCTAACTGTTGTTCAGAATGTTATTACGGATTATTATAACTATAGTCTAGCGAAAGAATAAACTAAAAACAAACACACACTGTTCTTGCATTCTATAAACAAATGAGAAGAAACAAATTTATCGAATACGAATAGTTGCCAGAGAGATAACAGGAATATATAGAATTTTATTATTAAATACGGTTAATTAAATTTTAAAGAAATGATATTTCTGTATAAATGCCACATGATAAATATGCGCATTTGATTAAACAAAATGCGAAACCAAAACCCACACACATACACACATGCGTAGCGAATTTGAATTAATTGATTGCAGCATTGATGAATTAATTATTTAATAATAAACACTATTATTACGAGTACGAGTATTTTAAACTATTAAGGACGACAGGGCGCACGTGGAACTATTGACAGTGAATTGCAAGCGTGAAACCGACGAATTGATAATTATAAACAATTGATAGGTAAAGATTAACGGATAACTAAATTTTAATAAAATTAAAATTAAATATACATCTAAATACATTGTAATTATTTGCGTACGTGTCTCATGGATTAAATGAATTAATAGAAGTTATTTTCAATCACTTCTACTGCCAGCTAGCGGAGAAAACTTTAAGTTATTACTTTAGTACCGTAATAGTGTCATCTGTGGTACAAATTTTGAATTATATAATGTATTCTTGGTTATCTATATTAAATTTTTATAAAAATGTCAAAAAATGCACTGGAAATGATTGAAGATCATATATATCCGTTTGATTTTGTGTTATTTCATGAGGCAATTCAAAAATGTGGTAAATTGCTAGTACCTTGCTAATAAATCTTAAAAACTTAAAGAAATCAAAACAAGAATAGTAAATATGTTGACTAATTGTAATTTTAAAGACGGAATACTATAATAATCAGACATTTTAATGTGTACATGCTAAACAAAGATAAAAAGGTTTTAATTGGTACCGAAAATAATTGTTATCATGAATTTCTCGTTACAACTTACAATAATTGCACCATTAGTACAATGTTTTAAATTGGCCAACACAGGATGCGTTCCTTTGTTCTGTTTCACTCGTTTTGTAACGGTTTTGATTGATTTCTACAGCAATTAAACACGATGGAGTAATGCGTGTTGTTGCGTTCGATATAAATAAATAAACTTCGATAATAAAATGTTCTACTATAATATGAAGCATTAAATATACTCTGCCGTTTGAAGGTACAAGTTTTCTTGTTATTGAATTGCATATTTTACGTTTTTGGATGTATGTAAATTAAATAAACCAATTTTTAAACGATTTAATCGGGACAGAATTCATGAACTGACGCAGGAGGCTCTATGAGGAGACAGTAAATTTTAAAACGCTAACGCGAGACTCTAATTAATACAAGAATTGAAATTTACTCATAATTGAAGAATTGATAAATGACAATGGTTATTAAAATACAAACATTGTATGTATCCTGTAATATGTGTATAAAATAATAAATGATATGATAACTTTGCGTATATTGTGATTTCTCTTTCTTAGAACCTGTTTAAAAGTTTAAAATGTATTTCTCTACTTCCACCTTTAAAGCACCGGTTTCAGCACAATCACCACGGTTTTGCAACATAGAAAGTATCAATTTAATCACGGATGGCTAAAGTCGTGACTAAAGTACACTAGGCCGTGACTAAAGTGTCAAACTCGGCGCCCATCATCATCCGGTATGGTCTAGTGGCTAGGATAGCTGGCTTTCACCCAGCAGGCTCGGGTTCGATTCCCGGTACCGGAAATCTTCTTTTCTTTTTTATTTTATTCCATTTTAACTTTCATACGAAATGCAATTTTTGTGTCAAATTACGTTTTACACTTCTGCTCTTGTTTTACCAACAATGTGCGTCACCCTCTCCTGCCTCACGTGCTGCTCGAGCTGGTTATCAAATTTGAGGTCATTACAGGCAACGTCACGTATTCGTATTAAATTTTGAAGGTGGAAAGACACGATTCCTAATCTATCGGCGCACCAGCGACAGCCAAAGTTGGATGAAATCAGATCAGCGAGTCCTCTCACGTGATGCGCCGTACGGCATCCGGTCGGCGCTCAAGTTCAGCGGTTTCCGGTTATAATGAGAGCTAATCAAAAATGGTACGACCCGTGACTAGACTTAGACAATAAGCTGATTATTATTTCTTGTGTATTTTCTTTTATTAATTTAACTTAAAAACTAAAAATGTGATTTTTAAGGTTTTAAAGGTTTAACTATAGGCAACCAAGAATACATAACCAAAGTTACGTTAGTTATAACCTAAATTTCATATGTTAAATCCAACACTGAACTTATACGGACAATGAAACAGTGAGGCGTGCATTCGCAGACAGGCGTACAACGCCGAACCGTCGAAACAAACGCCCTCGACAATAGCACCAACTCTGTAACACAATGGGGTTTCTTTCGGCGCGTAGAAACATCCCTCCACTTGAATGTTAAATGAGCGCGAGCGCGTAAAAGCAAAGCTGGTCATGTATGCCGACAATGAATATTAAATCACGTCACGAGGCCGAACAATTAGCGTTTCATTATTAATTCGCTCTAGTTTTAGTTGGAGAGATTTTTGACGTGCTGAAAAATAAAATCAAAACACGTGTTTGTTGCGCGTATACAAACACGAACGAAGGCCGAAAAGCTTTAAACTTTTTCAGCTTCAATTATAACTTTCGTGCTGTGTTCTCCCCAGACGGTGGGCGAATTTAACTTCTATTTTCGAGTGCTTTGCGGGCCACTAACGCAAAAACTAATTAGAAAAGTGTATCAAGTATCACTCATAATGTGTGTAGAAACAAGTGGATGCAATGTTTAATGATGCAAACATTGTTTTAATTATGTAATGCTTTTAAAAAGTATTTTCTGCACTCAAATAAAGATATCGACGTTGAATGTAATCATAAATCGCGATCGGGGTTCGTGAATAACTCAAAGAAGAGCGCCGTAAATCAGAGCTGCGAAGCGATGAGGCGATCATCGAAGCAGAGCGAGACACACGGCAATCTGCCGCCTCCGCGCGGCGGCGACAATCTTTTCGCCAACATTTGCGAAGATTGCTTAAAAAGTTATATTGAAAAACGCCTCCCCTGGGAGCTCTTGACACGAGGGTACTAAACGCTCTTTCCAGCCGTGGTACAACAGCCCATTTATGTGTGCGCTATAGCTGCTGGAGGCTATAGTGTCATCACCCCTTTTAAATCTTCGAGTGCGTCAGCGATTCGGTTCGGGCATGCCGCCAATGCCACCTGCACACGCACGCACTTCACCACTTGACATCGGTGTGAAAGCGGTGCAAATGACTTGAACCTGCTTTGCGCAGCGCCATTAATAAAATGCGCGCTTTGATGTATGAGGAGATCAACTCGATTTGTTCTCGATCATGATCAAAATTAGAGTGTTTTGTTTATTTTGTTTATGATTTTTGTAGTTTTGGTGGCGATTTTGCAAAAGGATTCCGGTACCGGGAATCGAACCCGGGCCTGCTGGGTGAGAGCCAGCTATCCTAGCCACTAGACCATACCGGATGTTAATAGATGTTAAATTTGTGGAGTTGAGACGAATTTTTGCAAGATATTTTGTGACCTAATGATAACATTTGAGAAAATATGAAACAATAATATCAACAATGTAAATTTGCAATGTGGAACACTCAACATACAATTATACAAGTTATTATTTCAATTTGCAAAACCGAAAACTTATCTAACTTTGGTTTTTTTATAAAAATTTATTATTTTTACATAAAAATTCATATCATGATGAAAGAGTTGTGGAAAAAAGCTATTACTCCAAAAAACATTAATAAATATTATCTATTTATTAAATTACGAAAGTAATTCACTAATAATGAAATTTAGAAAGAAAATTAATATCATTAGTTTTTATTGGTTTCAGATGACATCGCTATCAATTGAAATGTTTACCAACAATAAACCGAGAAGTAGCTATATACATGATGCGGATTTAATGCAAATAAGTGCATCGTAGTGACATCTCTCCTCAAATTGTAAAGAGTTGGATGAAACAACCGAATGGATATACACAGCCAATCTACTTCACGATGCAACGAAATTTCTGGCGGTTTAACTAAATTTTAAGTTACTGTTGCCCTGATACAACAAAAAACAACCAATCCATTGCACGCTGCATTGTAATCTCAACCGAACACGCTCGTCTCCACCTTTATGTGCGCTCTATTTACGGACTACAAGTAACAAAAACTTAAACTGATACGTACCACCAATCCGCTATAAGCTGTAGTATACGTTCACACCGATGGGGCTGTCTTGGCCTTCTCCATCGCCGATCACTGATACTACAAACACTGATAGTACGAATTGAAACTCACAAACAAAATATAATTTATTAATGCCAGAAAGTGCATCCTATCGCCATCTTGTATCAAAATATATAACTATGATTAATTCTTCATGTTTATAAGTTATCTTCTGTTTTTCAGCCTTGAGGTTTTATCTTTGCAACAGGAAAGAGTCTGTATGCTTCTCTATCTTATTCCTACAATAAACTGTTTATAAACAATTGCAATTATATGTTCCTCAAAAATAGCACGCAAATATTTCATGTATAAATATTCGACGGTCATAATAAATAGAAATAAAAATATTTTTCGTCGTTTCACAGAGGAAATTAATATAAACTAAACAAGTTGGATTACGGTTGATCCGCCGAATAAGGATCTGTAAATCTGTAAATTAAGATGGCAATGCCCACGAATGGGCGGGAATGCCTAATATAGGTATATATATATATATAATCAAATTGGATAAATTTCGCCGTTATACCATTATTTTTGTAGATTTAGATTCAATTTTATTGAATTCCCCCACTAATCATAAAGAAATGAATAAATAAAATACTTCAAACAAATTATATACAAAACAAATGCCACCAAAGTAATAAAACATACATAATTAAAAAAAAAACAACAAAAAATATTGACTTGGTATGCTTAAATAGTGTTAGTCAAGTAAAACGAGATGTTAGCAAATAACACAAGTAACATAAGTTACACTTGATGATATTTACATCATAAATTACAAAAATATTTCTTACAAACACTTGCTTTGCTTTGCTTCATACATAAATATGCTAAAATCAAATACTGCACAAAATATTAAGTTAATGAACCATCGGGAATGTCCTCAATACCATTTTGCTTACAACTTACAATAATGCGTACATAATATATACTTTTATAATATGTCATAGATTTTTCAGCTTCTCCTCTTGTTTCTGTTTGTGTTTTCTTCGAAAGTACGGGATGCGGTCTAAGAGAGCATGTGATATGCTACCAGGTAATCGCTGGTGCTTCATGATTAGATCATTCAGTGCGGTCATTATCTGTTAATTTAAATTTAACATTAATTACTAATTAAAATTAAAAATAAATGTAATTTACATATATTTACTATCTGATTGATTTTAAGTGTAATTAGAATTACACTTTAATAATAAATTACCTAACAATTACCTTAATTTGTAATTCTTCTGGGGATAACGCTGGATCATATGGTATCGGTGTCCCAATATGCGTGACAAGTTTAACAGGAAACCCACCATATGCCCAGGAACATGGAAATTTCGTCCACGTATACAATTTCAAATAAAATTTCCTACCGAGGCTTCCAAACATTGCATTTCGAAAGGCTTCCTTGATATTTTCAGTAAATACGGGAATGATTGGCTGTAAAAACGCGTTATCATTAGCACTATCCACACAATAAGACTCAAATTGGAATTTTAAACAGGTTATAAATAATTAATGATATGTTAAAAAAATTTCCACTCACACATTTAGCATCTATAGCGACTTTAGCAAAACCCAAGCGCTTTTTCCATAAAATATTATAAGTACTGCTCGAACTGAACTGTGCTTCATAAACACCACCTGGTGAGATTGCCAGAAGATGATTCTCTTTTAAAATGGCTGAGCATGATTGAATTGTACCAGGTATCACTTTGCATGCATCAGCAATAATAGGAAAACCTGTAGCCACAAAATTAACATACAAAATTAGTATGTGGCTTTGTTTTAACATTTAAATTTAAATTCATTGTATAATCACACTGACCTGGAACTTTAAATAGAAACTTGTCAGCAACTGTACGTATCAATCTGTTGTGATATAGATATGTTTTGGCACATAGATAATAAGCATCAATTGGAATTGAGCCATGATAATAGACTAGAAGAGCTGGAGTGTCTTTAGGAATATTATCCAAACCATTTACTTCATAACCTATCGCAGATGAATAAATAATATAAAATAATTATGTTTTTACTAGGAATATATTATTACCATGCCATATCCATCCATGGCCATCCCAAATGGCAGAAATAAGTTTAATAGCAGTACTCCACACATCTCGCAGGTCAATTGTTCTTTTTAATGCCACCCAATGCAGTTTATAGATGTAAAGTATCAATGCAGACAAATACAACAAAACGCCGATTATCAAAGGCAATAATATCGTGATTAGCAGTGGCATTAACAACCAGGACAACCATAGTGAGTAATCGATGTCAATGTATTCCACTAAAAAATTACACAAAGGTTAGTGTCACACAAAACACAATCAGAAGTATCATCATTCACCTGCAAAATTGTAGATGTTTGTCTTGAACTCGTCGATAAAATTCATCTTAATAATAATACTATGGACAATCTTTGGAGTTTTTGCATTAAATTCGTTTAAAACTCACTGAATACACATTAGATTCGTGTGGTTTCATGACATTGACACTTTGATTGTTCGCTTCTTTCACAAATGTTATTCGGACACAGCTTTGTTATGCCCTGATTCAATGAATCTGCGTGGAATCTTCAACACGCGCGCAATGAAAGCGTGAAATGTGGCGGCTGATTCAACGTGATCAGCAAGCGCGCCAGTCCGTAGACGACTAAAGTAAAGCCTTGATTAAAGCCGCATATCGCTGTTTACATGACAACCGCACCGACTACAAATCAAACTACGCACACGGCAAAAAACATGGGAGACCTGAGGCTCATGATTTCGTTTTAGTTTTTCATTATGAACCGCACACAATGCGAGAAATCGCCGGTGTTTTTTATTTCATCATCTGCGAATAGAGTAATTAATGCACTCGACGGTTGGCAATAGATGAAGGTTGACCGGTTTCGAGTTGAGGTGTTTCGACAACTAATTTGTGGATTGCTGTTTTTAAGTTTTTGATCTTTGCGCAAGAACTACGTCAATATTTTTGCGGATTTTTCGATTATGATTGCCTTGAATAAAACTTATAACTGTAAAGTATATATGTGGATATTTTTAGAACGTTTAAAATTGTTTTCGATAACATTTACTATAACTTTTTTTAATTTCGGGAAGTACTGATTAGTTACATGAACAACTTTTACAGCACTTATAAATATTACTTATGTTTCAAGTATTAGGCAAATAAATTCATTACTTACAAGTGCCGAAAGTGGCTGCAATTAAAAAAAAAACCTTGAGATCCGAGGAAAAGATTAAATAAAACTAATGTTATGTTACTTTAACTACAAAATTAGCTTTTAATTGGAAGCCATTAGTAATTATTTTCATTTTAAATGATTGGATGGTGACAAAATGGCCTCTTCATCACTTTAATCATTGTTTAATCGATATTAATTTCCATAGTAATTGTAAACACCGAATGTGTTGATTTTAAAAATGCATGGAAACGTGTTGTCTGCAAACAAACATCACAAAAACTAATGAAAACACAAAAACTGTCGACATGAGTAGTCAATCACTTAATAACATAGAATTAAAGAAATTGCAGAATATCCAACATAATTTGGACCATGCCCAGAGCCAATTTATTCAAATTTGTTCAAAAGATAATCCATCACTACAAGAATTCATTCAGAAACTAGAAAATGACTGGTAAGCATTCAAAACCTTCACATTTTTGATAAATTTCTCTTGAAATGTTTCAATTTGTAGTAAAACTGAATGGAAAGCAATTCGTCAAGATGTTCTAAATATACATGACAAAATAAAGAATATAAACACAAAAATAAACACAATCGATGAAAATGTTACTATAACTTCCTTAAAATCTGAATTAATAGACCTCAAAGACAGTATTGAAAACTTTAAGCTTACGTCAAAGAATAAACTCAAAAGTTTAGAGTCAAATGAAAAGTCTTTAACTGAAGAACTTGAATATTATGAGCAGATGTATGAAAACTGGTCAAAACCAATTGAAATTATCGAAGAACCTACATTTATCAAGCGCACAATTCTTAATAAAATAGAATGTCCTGAAGTGCATGAATTTAATCAATTTCTACAAGAGACTAAAGGTCATACAAACGGTTGGACATGGGATGATAACGCAGTGTTCTTAAAATACAAAACAAAGTATAAAACTATCGATAAAGTATCTGAAAAGTTACATAAAACATTCCCTGATAAATCCGTGGAAGAAATTGAAGAACACTTCAAGTGGCATGAAAAATACTGTGTTCTGCGAGACAAACAAAAAGTGGCGATACAAAAGTGGAAAACACAAAAACAGAGCCAAGATACAAACAACAGCACTGAAGATGGATCATCTACAACATTTAAAATAATAAATAAAAAGATTAAAGTACCACCAATGAATCCAGAAGAAACTAAAGCTAAATTACTGGCATGGAAAGAAGAAAAACGTCGAAGAGAACAGCAGGAAGCATTGACACGTGAAATGAACGAACAGTTCTATAAACAGTTGGAGATTATGAGGTTCCAAAAGAATTCTGAGATTAAAGAAAAGGTGGAACGTTGGCGCATGATAAAAGCCAGTGAAAAACAAGCACAGGAAGCAAAACGTAGAGAAGAAGAATTAAAAACACGAGCATTCAAGTATGAATAACTTAATCTTACTTAATATATAAAATATTAAAGCTATTTAATGTTATTTTAGAGCAATGTTGGCTAACCATTTCATTCGTGAGTTCCAAACACAAGATCAACGTTATATAAAGAAGATGCAAGCAAACAAAATGAAAAATCAGCCGCATAAACCACCGCAAACCAATTCTAAAGTAGTAATACCAAGAGATCCGAATAGATTGTTAAAACCAACAAAGAATTGGATCTCTAAGTTGGAGACAACAAAAGAGACAAATATGAACAACATACATAATGGCAACTTGAACTTAAACAGCATCCAAAGACTGTAAATATATTATTAATAGTTATGTATCTTGGTTGTGTAACAATTATCTATTTCAGCAAAGCCCCTGATTGGCGCAAGTGACCAGTTTGGACTAGAGTATTACTAGAGAATCGTATTTGTAGTTTTTTTGGTAAAATATCAATATGGACATAACCTCATCTTTGCATCAGTGGAAATTCAGATGCAGCTGTAGTAGTTCCGTCAAATTGTCCCAAATGTATCTGGAATCACATGTTTTGTACTTTTATATGTACTAAATAAAGAAGTATCGATTAATTACTTGTAGATATAGGTTTACATCAGCACTTCGACTTAAATAAGGAAAATTACCACCGCTTTTCAAGTGCGCTAGTCTTGCCTGAGGATAACATTTGTACAACTCTTCCATCACATTGTTACAAAGTGCACTTTTATCAAACACGTCGATTATCGTCACAGGCAGTTCATGCAACTTATGAGCTTCGACGTATCCTCTTGAACAGTTTAATGTAAGTCGACTAGCGAGTTCAGACTGTTTCAAAGTCTCAAACTGGAAGTTTAAAAAGTTGGTTATGTTATATAAACATAACCTAATACTACAAATATAATGCTTTAGAACTTACCCTATCTACCATAAAGTCAATAGACTCAATAATATCAGAATCAACTCTCTCACAACTAAAATTACCCATAATCATATGTTTCAAGGCAAGTGAAGGCATCATCCAAAAGAGACTCGCCGAGGCATGATTATTAAACACCGAAGTGTCTGTAAAAGTATTACATAATGCTAATGAGGCAACCCTTGGACAAATATAAGTGTGTTCAGCAAATTTCTGTGCTAGGTAGCCACCTAGTGATGCTCCAAAAATATGAACTTTATCTAGTTCTAGAGTGTCTAAAAGTTTCCTAAAACTCTCACACCAGTCATTCACAGTCCACAGCACAGGTGCCACTGCAGTGATGACTCTCACTCCTTTGGCAGACAGGGCAAGAGCTTGTTTGAAGAAGACATCGGCTGTGCCAGACACTGGTGGCAGACAAATCAATGGACATTTTATGCTTTTTGGTCCACAATCATAAATTTGCCAGTCCTATTATAAAACCCACAATTAATACAAAACTAAGTATAAAACAAGTTTTGAGTAAATACTACTTACTTTTAAAGAGGAATCAACCACAATCTTTCGAAGTGGAATACTACTTCTAAAACTTAAATATTCTGCCGATTGAGACAGATCAGCCATTGTACAAATAACTGGTAATAAAAATGCATTTATAAATGCAGCGTGTCGTTAATTATTCTTAACTGAACTGAAAATATACACTACATGAATATCTAGAGGAGATAACCCCTTGTATTATGTATGAGCATACTTGTGTACTACACAAAAATCGTCACGCGATGAATTGTTGTCATAACGCACATAACCATCGTGATAATGACAAAGGTAAACAATGATTATACATAAATAACTTCAAAGTTTGGATGCGAAAATCTATCTAATGAGGTTCCATGAAGATTATTGAGGTTACAGAAGTTGATATGACAGAAATACTAAACTGCAAAATATAAACTGAACGGTATTATAATCGACGAGTGTCACACTCACAATGTACATTTATCACTTTAGTCATATCAGAAGAATGCTACTAAAGATAATGATGTTATGTTAAGTCATAAGTACATTAGATTATTGTTTTGAACTTTAAAGAAGTGCGATAAATATGTATTTATTATATGTAGTGACAGATTGTAATAAATATGTCTAGCCACTCTTAAAATAATCAATTTACTGTTATTTTTATAATGGTTTTTACCTTTAAATTGTGGTTATGTATAAATTTCAACATTTTTAAGGTTAGAAATTAACGTCATATGCCTTTATTTAACCTCTTAAACAGATTTAACTTTCTTTATATTATTCACACCTTTAATTTTACTTTTCTTCTTCCTTTTAATAACCTTTGGACTATTTTCATTCACATCTTCATCATTTTCATCACTGCAATCATTGATAGTCTCCATATTCTCAAACAAACCTTCATATTCATCATCCTGAACAATAGGTTTCTGTTCATCCTCTTCTTTAGGTTCTTCCTTCACCACCGGACGCATTAAAAGCTTAGTCAAACCAATTTTCATGTATTCTTTATGCACAACCTCCTTGGTATCAACATTGTGAATCCTCAAATGTTTATCTAAACTTGTACTAACAACATATGGAAGTTTCTGGTCACAAATGATGCTTGTGACTGCACCTGCAAATGGCTGGAAGGTCTTCACACATTTGCCCTGTCTCATGTCAATGAGTTGGATGTAACCTTTGGTTGTGCCAACAAATAATTGTCTGTCTCTGTATAAAGATACACAGGTAAAAGAAGCCTTTTTCTCTTCATATTTACACACTGGTTTTCTTTGGGCTTTCTCATCATAAAGCAACATCATACCTTCTTTTGTGATACAAGACACAATATTATCTTCATTGTGGAATGATATTCCTCTTATACTTGTGGGAATTGGCAGTTCCAACATGTCTTTTCCAAGCTGATGTTAAAATAAACATAAATTAAAGAAAAAATAGCAAAACTATGAAAACTTACTGATTTAGCTTTGAATATATCCTTCCTAGTATTAATATCCCACACTTTTAGATCATTATTTTCACCACCAGTGGCAAAAACATTTCTTTTCTCATTGTAAACCAAAACATTCATAGTTGCTTCATCATTTAACACAGTTCTGAATGCATCATGCTTTTTCTTTGATCTGTTATGTACATTAACAGTACCATCAGATCTACCAATGATTATATTCTTGTCAATTGATGCTAATCCAACAACAGCTCCTTTTCCATCAAGTTTTTTCACATGTTGAATGAATTTGCTTATTCCTGTGTTGTAAACTTTAACTACACCATTTTTATTTCCTAATATTATCTCATCATTGGACTGGCCCCATTCAAAAGCGGTGATTTCTCCATCTAATTCTTTTAATTCATATGTGGGTTTTATATTTTTCTGGCATTCAGTATCTATGAAGATGTTTTGATTAAAATTGTGGAATATTTAAAGAAATAACACTTACATGCAATAACTCCACGTAAACTTCCTGCATAAATATGAAAATTTAAATCTTCTGCGTGTTTGTTTGCCATTTTCTTCATTGAATTATAAATAAATGTAGAAATATTTGCAAACAGAACTTTAGTAAAAGTTAACAACACGGCGTGGTTTATTTTAAGGTTATGTTTGTTATTTTTAAACTTAAACCGAGCGCTTTAAACTTTTCTTTAATAATTTACACGTTGAATAATTACCATAACATCATTAATATTTTTTGCCCAGATTTAATTTTTATATATGTATTTCTCTTAAATGAATTATTATATTGTTTTTAACTTCAAAAGTTTTCGTATAAATTCGAATTCTACTCGACAATGTTCGTAACAATGTCAAGATTCAAACCGAACCTTAAATATTTTTAACTAAAAAGTAAGTGACGTTTTCGAGGACGTATTATTATTTTTGACGTTACGTGTAAATAGTTGCTAGGTTTGTTGCGTTTATTGTTTCCACAACTTATTTATTTAAAACCGAAGGCGTAGGCCCACAGAAGCAAATGAAAAGGTAAACTTTTCTCCAACTTTACTTAAAGTGTAATTTTTAAGGCTAATAATAACTTGCAATGCTAATCAACAGAAATAGGCACAGAGAATTTCAATATTCACAGCTACAATTCTCAAAAGACAGCGACGATGATGACGAGGGCGAAGAAACTGAATTATTTGTGCGTAAAACCACTGTGTACAAGGAAATTCCGACAGAGGATAAAATAGTTGAAGATGGTGACACTTTACAATCACTTTCCATTCGTTACCATTGCCCTGTAAGCAATAAAATCTCACAAAAGTTAAACTTTTAATGATAAACTATAAATAAATCATATGTGATTAGATTTCAGAGTTGAAACGCCTGAATAATATCCACAAAGAAAACGAAATCTACGCGCGAAATACCATCAAAGTGCCAGCGCGTCCATTCACAAGAATCCTTGCTGGTGTCCACACAAGTGGGAAAAGCTCACCTGACGCATCCACCACCGACAATAAGGCAGCTGTAACAAATGTGATTGACTCCACACTCTTAGAAGATAAGCTAATCAATCTCAACGCTTCTGCGGCGCCCGCCAACGATGATTTTAACGCCGTTATATTTAATAGTAATATAAATAAAACTTGTGATATTCAGGATCAGGGTGTCGATGTGTCGGATGATGTCGTCGAGGAAGAAGAAGTGCAATTATTACCGAATCAACCAATTCATGATGAGGTATTACCGTCACCGGCTGTCACACGGCTGCGCTGCAGTGGTGCCGACGCGGATATCTCGTGGATTGCGTTGATCATTTGTGTTGTTATTTTAATATTTGCGGTGCCTTTGGTTTACGTATTTTATATCGCCGAGCATCCCGATGAGTATCATCACAAACCGCATGCGAACTTGACGTGATAAGGCTGTATCTGAAAGAGAATATTTTATAGAGATGTATTTGTATATTGCGCACAATTCGTGTCAATAAAAAGTAATTTTATTATGCTTAGCTATGTTATTTTGTGATAATATTCGCAGCCATTTTGAAAACTTCTGAAAATTTGCTTTGTCATGAAAATAATAGTTTTAAACTCAAAACCACTTCTACAAATTATACTAAAACAAAAAACCTCACAAGTAGCAAGTATTATTATATTAAGTGCATAATTTGTTTAAATTTAAATAAAAAGCTTTTTCACGCACTACAGCCTAAAATTTTCATGTATATTTGGTTGCATAACCGAAAATATAATTGGTTTGGTTGCCTATTCCATTACGATGTTTTTACAACCACTAGCACCACTCGACACAGCTTGGCGTTGAAGATTAAAAACATCACTACCTAACAATAATTGACCAGTGCCTGTAAAATAACAATTAATATCTAATTATACAACCCTCCGCGGCCTACAGATCACTACCAAACAACACCATGAGGCTTTGTGCGTGCAATAAATAAAACAACAGGTGAGCTGATTACATTCACCACTACTGCCTGACTGAGTTATCTTATTGTTTAAAATGTTCTTTGTACTCCCCAAGCATAGCCAGGTCAATTTGATTACACATTCACAACTAAATTTCCCTTTTTACAATGACTGAACAAGAGTACAGATATGCTGCCGATCAATTATTGCAATCTAATTCACACGAGTCAAACAGTCAAAATGTCCAATCCCCAACTGAGATCTGTGAGTAAATTCACCTCATGCAAAAAAAAAAGCAACGCGCCGAACTAACGCATTTGTTATAGCACATTCTCATAGTATTAACACACTGGCCTCCATAAGACCAGAGTATATCCTATCTTCTGGCGATTATTTCGCGGGCGTGCGGCCCAATGGGAGAATGTCAAATGTCCGTAGATTTTTCTGCCTTTTCGTTACGTTCGATTTAACGTTCATTAGTCTCATGTGGCTTATTATCATAATGGTAAATATATTTCATTTGTTTTGTTTGCTGGAATGTATCATACATATGCTATCCTGATATTCGCTCAATTTTAGATCAATGGGGAGAATATTGTCGATGCACTCACAAATCAAGTGGTGCACTATGACATCCACAAGTCATTGTTCGACATTGTTCTATTAGCTGGTTGTAGATTCATTCTTTTGATACTGTTTTATGCGATTTGTTATATTCATCACTGGATTATAATTGCGGTAATTATCATATTCTGCGTCATGAATGCGATCGTTTTGATTAATTTTGTTTATTCTTTTAGTTGACCACAACATGTACTTGCGTATTTCTTATTTCTAAGGTTTTTGTCTATGATGTAAGTAATGACGCTTATTTTTCACAAATTTTCAAGTTGAAAACTTCGTTTTTACATTCTCCAAGCAAAACAAATCAAATTATTTACAAACCACATAGACAGGATGTTTTTACGAGTAAAAATGTTTGAAATTTGCGCTTGGACGATGGAAGTTTGACCTATTTAGCTATTTACTTGCAATATTTTGATGCTCATCAAGCAGCCCTAATGTAGATTTGAATTTGAATGTCAAATGACGTTTCAGTGGCATGCGACTGAGCAGCAAGTCTTTCAAGTGCTTCTGGTGCTGACATCGTTTGTCTTGTCATGGGGCGAAACGTGGTTTTTGGACTATAGGGTACTGCCGCAAGAGTTGCAGGCAAGTCAAATTGTTATACGTAAGTATTTTATTAAATAAAAACCAAGAAAAACATTTTTTCTAAATTTTTTTACTCTGTAGAGTCGCCAGAATCTGAACGGGCCCCGCTGATCAACCGATTCGTGAGGGGCCTGCCCTCTATGTACACAGAGAGCATCGGCAACTTTTATTCACCGCTTCAGTCCGCAACAAATTCGATGTATCACTTCGATGTCGGCCCATCCGACCGTTTTCCAGCCGTGAACTTCACCGCCGCTGAAGTAAGTTGTTTGGCGCTGCAACCGATCGAGGTGTGTCTTATATTGCTGCTCGTAGATTTCTAATTATGTCTCTCAAGGGGAGACAGCCATGCGGGAGTCGCAGGAATTCCTGAACAGCCCCAATTGGAAGAAATCCAAAGCGGAGGGTGATGATATCGTCGAATGGTTGCAACCTGCGCCAAAAGCTAGGAAGATATTCAAGTTAACCGTAATTTTATTACAGTTCTTTCAGTTTATGTGTAAACTTATTAATTATGCGGGGTTTTAGAGCGTCGTAAACATACCACCGAAATATTTATTCGAAGAGTTGTTCTACCGCGTGGAGACGATGCCAGAGTGGAATCCAGCGCTCATGGAATCGTACCGGGTGCAAGTCATCGACGAGCACACGGATATTAGCTATCAAATATCGGCGAATGGTGCGCGCGGTGCTGTTTCGTCGCGTGATTTTATCAATCTTAGGCAATGGAAGCGGTTGGAGGATGGTTATGCTATTGCTAGCGTTTCTACAAGTCATCCATCTCTTAACGACAAGAATGTTAAATGTATAAGGTTAGTACTTTCATAGGTTATGACGTTAAAGTTAGGCAACCAAGTATACATATTATTTCCACGTTGAAATATTAGAAAATACACTTTTATATTAAATTAATATTCCAGAGGTGAAAATGGAGTTGGTTGTTGGATGATCAGGGCAATCCCCACAGATCCCAACAGCTGCGTGTTCGTGTGGGTGCTCAACACCGATTTAAAGGGTTGGATCAACTCGACCATTTTAGAAGTTGCATTTGTGAACATGATGTTTGATTATATTAAGAATCTTAGAAAGTATATTACCAAGTTGCGTCAAACTGGTCGAATTCTGTGACTGGGGCTGTGTACTACAACAAAACCAACAAAAAACCAAACACAAAGCCTTAGCACGGACGTACCAACGCATGAGATTCATTGCGGCAACTTTGCGGCGATTCTACCTATTAAACTAAGCTCTCAGATTTTTTATCGTGATATATTAATTTTTCTATTCTTTGTTTATTCGTGTTTTCTCGTCTGATTCGATGAAGTCATTTATATGTTTACAATATATTTATATAAATACGTATATAGCATATTCTTAATATGATCTAGTGAAAGTATGTACTTTTTGAACGATTTTTAAGAACAATTTTATAGTTTCTAAGATGATTCGATGCGAACTAACGAAACTGAGTGTGTCATTCGCGTCCAATGTACCAACTTATAACGTCGCCGGTGATTTATGATTAGTATTGCATTTGTTTGCTTATTTTTTAATATGAACAGAGAAGTGTTGACAAATAAATAAAAATTACGAAAGAAATCTTAGAAATATAAAAACACAGAGTGTTATAGTTTGCCAATAGTATTTATTTATGCATATTTAGGATAAAATGTCAGCTAAGTTACAAAATGTGTTTATTTCTCTTGCTGGGGGAACCAGGCCTGACAAGCTTCACTTGCAAGCTCACACATTGCAGACAAAGTCTTACCAGCTGCGTCGTAGTCTGAAAAATGTAAAATATTTAAAATATTTCACATATTTTTATTATAATTTATATTTACCTTGGTTAAGACCACGTTTTCCAAAGATGGACCCATTGAATGGCGGTTTCCTGTATGTGGCTTCAGCTTGGTCAAGCATTCCAGCAATCAGAAGCGCGAATGCAATCACCAAGAAAACTTTTGTTAAGTTAGATGCCATCATGTTGATTTACGTCTTGACTTGATGAAAACTGATGTTACTTTGGAGAAACTCACGATGTGAATGATTCTCCAGCAACAAAATCGGTGCTTTTATAGTGCAGGAGTATTGCGCGCATGTTCATGTCCAGGGATGAAAGTTTGAGAGACGCAAACCAAATTACAACCCCATTTGCCATGTATTAGCGGCATAATGCAATCATATGCGGTGAAATAAATTGGATCGGACTTAGGGTTGTTCCCAACACAATTATGCGTTGGTTTACTTTTGACTTGGCACAATTACTGCGCCCTGGACGTAATTACAAACGTGACTAGTGGTAGAATAACCAGGGTTTGATTTTAAGAGTACCTAACTTAATTTTGATTTAATCAAACGTATATAAGGCTTAAAAGTTTCATTTTGGGTGAAAATAATTATTCATGTTTTGTTTTTGCGAATATAATTTTATTATTTAATGGAAATAACTAGAAATAGTAAAAAAACATGTTTAAGGGGTATTCTACTCTAGGGGTTTCAAAAAATCGATTTTTTTTTTCTTAAATATTTTGAAAGTTTAACTATTCAAGAAAACGTGTACAAGAGGATTTTTCAAAATTTAAATTATTTTCCGAGATATAGCCGTTTTGGTGACGCGGCATCCATACTGGTTCGCATTGACGCGAAACTTTAAACGTGTTTTTCTCGAAACTGTATTTTTCGAGACGGTACCCACGATTTCTCAACTTCTACTGAACCGATTTACTTGAAATTTTTACAGGGTCTTCTTTATCGACTTTTCTTTAGAATGAACTACGCTTATCCCTAAATTCCGATTTTAAATATTCCAAAAAAAATCTAGTATATCAAAAAACAAGGATGAAAAAATCACATTTTTTTCAAACAGTCGCCATTTTGTAAAAATTTTTTTCACTTGTCCGTAGTTCATTCCATTGCGACATTATTCTAGATTAACAATCTTTTTTTTTTCATTTCCGATCACTTGGAGGCCTAAAATCATGGGTACGGTCACGTGCCAATTTTTTCGGACCGCCCACTTCATCACCTGCTGGAATTTAAAATTTTGAACTTTTTTCAATTTTTATTTTTTTTTGTATTCTCAAAGCATTAATAAATAAGTGTTAAAAAAATGGATGGTAAAACTCTTCATAGATTTTTTTTTACGGCCTTTCAAAAATCACATGAAATTCATGCCTCTAGAGTAGAATACCCCCTTAAAACATGAAAAACACATATTTTTGAGGTTAAATTAAGTTATGTGAGGTTAGGTTGCATATAGTCAGCACTATGTTCAAAATAACACTTAAAAACTGGTTTGTAGTTTGAATTTATTTACATAATGTCTATTTTAATCATACTTTACTTCCATATTTGAAACTACACATTTATTTAAACAGTTTTTTTTACCAAGAGAACAAATAGCGCGAGCCGTATTTTGCCGGCAGTTTTTCCGTGCCTTCTGGTAGATAAGGAGTAGGATCATCATACACCAGTTTCTTCTCTGGCTCTGGTTTAGGCCTCAATGCCTTGTGCACTTGCACTCTTGCATACTCATCATAATGAGGTCTCTTCATGTTCAAATTGTCTTCCATACACTTGTCAAACACACCTTGGGTCCGGCGACAACTGTCACAACATAAAATAAGTTAAACTATGTATAAAATTTTATGTTTTAGTTACTTACGGTCCAAAATCACAATTAGGACTAGACTTGTCGAGGCAGTTCACATACTGCATAAACTCACCATAGCAGGAAGCTTTTACCTGCTGGAAGAAATTGATAGCGCAGTTTGTTACAGCTTTACCTTCTTTAATGCAAGCACGAGGATCGCCTGTCTCCTTCTTACAGAGCATAAATTCCTGCAAAATGTATTTATTAAGCGCCGAAAGTTGCGATTAGATAATTAACCTTACATTATTTTCGAATTGGCAGGCTTGCCCGAGATGCACAGCGCCGGCCTTTAGAATGGGTGTGGAGACGTTGAGTTCTTGCGTTTGTAACTCTGCATCAGAGGGTAGATACACATCCTCTGGGATACTCATGTTTTAACGAGTGAATAAGTTGGAATTCAATGTTTACGATTGGGAAAATAATGAAGACAGTGGCAGTGTGTACAAGTGACGTTAGGTGTCAGCACGTGACAGGTTAAACATACATTGTGGTACAAATAGAATAATATCAAGTGTCTAAAGAAAAGTTTTATTATAATATAACAACGTGATGCTCACGGTATTTTTCTACTTCTATTGTATTTCCACGTTGAGATTTTCGTATTTGAACTTCTGTATTTTAAATCTTCGAAATTCACTCGCACACTACTGGGTAATTTAAGCTAATGCTGTAAACAGCTTGCTGCACAGTCGAGTTTTGTATATCTCGCGGGTATCGTGGCTATTGCAATACGCGCACAAGGTCACGTGCCATAGTCGCGCGTCGGCTTTGCGCATCTCTTGCTTTCGCATGCGGTGCAGCGCGCTGTTTTATCGTATCATCAGCTATCTCGTGCATTCTGCGCATATTCGGCGATGTTGCGGTTAGTTTCGTGCCGATTTCTGGTTGATTCGCACTCGTTCTTCGCGGTTCATTGTATTGTGTTAGATTTTGATTCGGTAATCCGCGTTGTTGTCGATGGAAATTCGAGAATTCAATTGCAAGTAGTGTTTATAATTTCTTAATAACGCGTCTAATGTGCATAAGTGCTAGTTTTCTGATCGTGTTTTTTATAGATATTGCAAGTTAAAAGATGGCCGCATGCCTAACACTGCAGTCGTTGTAATCCGCGGTGTTGGTTGCTAATGGAATTGGATCTTATCACCGCCATGTTTATTCTCTTCATTCGCATGATCCATCATGTTTGTGTAAGTAATTTTAACTAAGCATGGATTGTTTATTTTTCTCCGATATGTAAATCACTACATAGTATAAAGTAAAGTCGCTTTTTTTCCGGTTCCTTTGTATACTTAAATCTTTGAAACTACGCAACGGATTTTGATGCCGTTTTTTTTAATAGATAGAGTGATTCAAGAGGAAGGTTTACATGTATAATAACATCCATTAAATAGTGGAGAAGTACTGTTATTTTTGAGGTTTCTAATGTGATGTAAATACAAAGTTTTCGATTATTCCCGTCTGCTCTTTGTGCGATGCTTCGTAGCTTCCCCCTCCAAGCATAGACGTGTGTATGTGTGTACGTGTGGGTTGAAGTTGACCGGTTGATGTTTTTGTTTGGAGAAGGAAAGTCGCTTTCTCTGTTTGTCCCTTTGTATGCTTAATCATTGAAACTTCGCAACGGATTTTGATGCGGTTTTTTACTTCCGTGCGAAGCCGGGGCGGGTCGCTAGTATAATATAATTACATCGTATGAAATGTTTTAACTCGTTTTCTTTTAATTACAGTACTAGCTGTGCTTTGCTGTCCGCTAAGCTCTGCATTGGTAAGTTGATAATTTAATTATATTTTTAGAAAAGTTACGCGTCAATCGTTTGTTTGTGTATAGGTACTTGTAAACAAGTTGTCTTTTATTGCATTACCCCAACGCGTTTGAATTGTACCAAATAGTCGCATGCCGTGCTGATACATAATGTTGGGGCGAAACCTGCGTAGCTTGTCCTCCTGGTTCTGACGACGGTTGCCCGATTTTTGTTTGCGATGCTCAAGCGACTCTGACTGAGTTTAGCCGGTCTGACATCGCGCTCCAAGATATGATAGTAATGTGGTGGATGATGTATGCAGTGAAGAAAACTCTTGCTGATTTTACGATTTATTTACCGTGTAACTTACACAAGAACTCAAGAGCGAATGAATTTTATAACCGAAGCAAAGCAGATCTGCAATCTGGCAAAGCAATCTGGACTTACTGGGAGAACAAAGCATTTAATTGCAGCAGTCCCCTGGCAGGTGTTTGCCAAATGCAAATGATAACACTTCGTCGCGTTATCGATACGTTTGTCGGACTTGGCCCGAACACGTAACAACATTTAATTTTAGTTTTCTGTTCTTACTCTGTGAGCGCAATAGTTGTCCTAAACCATGCAATTTTATCCAAATGCAATATTCACCTCTTTACGTTATCATATGGACGCCCAACAATGCATTCCTTTATAATTTTCAAAACCTGCGGTATATAACTGGTTAAGAGTTTATCTTGAGGATACATTCCTGTCTCATCCCGAAATTGCGCTCTAAGTGCCAGAAAATAACCGCTAAAATTTTTAAAACACTTTGTGGAAAATCGGCCATATCTCGGGAACCCTTTGTGATATTTTAATTTTTTCTTTGAATTCTGATTAAGAGTTTATCATCAAGATGCAATTCTGTCCCATGTAGAAATTCCATCCTAAAAGCTTCAAAATGGCTGTTCAAATTTGCCCCTTTTAAAAAAACCTAACAACCTAACACCTGGTGAAAACTCGGCCATATCTTGGGAATTGTTTGTGATATTTTTATTTGTTCTTTGGATTCTGTTAACATAAAAGTTCTTAAAAGTATATAAAAGTATCTTCAAGCTGCAATTAAGTCCTATCGCAAAATTATATCCTAAGGGCCTGAAAATAGCCGCGAAAATGCTTTTCAATTTTTTAAAATTTTCCTAACACCCGGTGGAAAATCGGCCATATCTCGGGGAACCCTTGGAATATTTCCATTTTTTCTTTGAATTCTGTTAGTGTAAAAGTTTATCTTTAAGATGCAATTCTGTACCATCTCGAAACTCCATCATAAGTGCCTCAAATTGGCCACTAAAATTTGCCAATTTTTAAAAATTTTTCTAACACCCAGTGGAAAATCGGCCATGGCAACCCTTTGTGATATTTTCATTTTTTTTTGGATTCTGTTAGTATAAACAGGGCCCATGAAAGGGGGGGTCAACTGGGGTACATTCCCCGGGGCCCGGCTGATCGCTCTTAAATCGCAAACACAACAAAAAAAAATAGCAAAACATTAACGATTGCCGGGCCTGCCTACTTGTGACACAAATTAGATGACCGGTACGATCGAACACTATTAGGAGATATTTGCAATTCAAAAAAGGTAAAAAAAGAAAAATTGTACTTTTAGTCACTTTTTTGGTCCTTTTATTCCACGAAATTAAATTATTTTACGATTTTTTACGACACGAATATGTCAAGAACGTTGATTTTTCCTTGTTTATTTAGTTATATTGCAATTAATCGCAATTGTATTGTCTCATTGAGTCACCGTACTAGGGTGCCGGTAAAAGTGAGTCATGTTCAGGGCACCGCACAAGGGCAGAGGTAGAAGTGACTTGTATTCCGAGCACCGTACAAGGGCAGCGGTAGAAGTGACTCGTATTTAGGGCCCCGTACAAGGGCAGCGGTAGAAGTGACTTGTATTCAGGGCACCGTACAAGGGCATCGGTCGAAGTGACTCGTGTTCACAGCACTGTATGAGGGTAGCGGTAGTAGTGACTTGTATTCAGGGCACCGTACAAGGGCAGTGGTAGAAGTGACTCGTATTCAGGGCACCGTACAAGGGCAGCGGTAGAAATGACTCGTATTTAGGGCAGTGGTAGAAGTGACTCGTATTCAGGGCACCGTACAAGGGCAGCGGTAGAAGTGACTCGTATTCAGGGCACCGTACAAGGGCAGCGGTAGAAGTGACTCGTATTTAGGGCAGTGGTAGTAATGACTCGTATTTAGGACCTTGTACAAGGGCAGCAGTAGAAGTGACTCGTATTTAGGGCACCGTACAAGGGCAGCAGTAGAAGTGACTCGTATTCAGGGCAGTGGTAGTAGTGACTCGTATTTAAGGCCTCGTACAAGGGCAGCGGTAGAAGTGACTCGTATTCAGGGCACCGTACAAGTGCAGCGGTAGAAGTGACTCGTATTCAGGGCAATGTACAAGGGCAGCATTAGAAGTGACTCGTATTCAGGGCACCGTATAAGGGCAGCGGTCGAAGTGACTCGTATTTAGGGCAGTGGTAGAAGTGACTCGTATTCAGGGCACCGTACAAGGGCAGCGGTAGATGTGACTTGTATTCAGGGCACCGTACAAGGACAGCGGTCGAAGTGACTCGTGTTCACAGCACTATATGAGGGTAGCGGTAGTAGTGACTCGTATTCAGGGCACCGTACAAGGGCAGCGGTCGAAGTGACTCGTATTTAGGGCAGTGGTAGAAGTGACTCGTATTCAGGGCACCGTACAAGGGCAGCGGTACAAGTGACTCGTATTCAGAGCACCGTACAAGGACAGCGGTCGAAGTGACTCATGTTCACAGCACTGTATGAGGGTAGCGGTAGTAGTGACTCGTATTCAGGGCACCGTACAAGGGCAGTGGTAGAAGTGACTTGTATTTAGGGCAGTGGTAGAAATGACTCGTATTCAGGGCACCGTACAAGGGTAGCGGTAGAAGTGACTTGTATTCAGGGCACCGTACAAGAGAAGCGGTCGAAGTGACTCGTGTTCTCAGCACAGTATGGGGGTAGCGGTAGTAGTGACTCGTATTCAGGGCACCGTACGTGGATGATTGTATAACTGACTCCCATTTGCCCTTTTTTTAATGTATTAAAATTTCATCTCTTATATATGCATTTTAATTAACTTATCTTATTGAAAATTTTTCGTTGATTAAGAGTTTGAAATCTGTTTATATGTATATCTCTTTTAGTTTACGAGGTATTCACAATTGAATTAAATCGTCAAAAAATGAAAAATTCCAATTTTTAGCAGTTTCAGTCGCGTTTTTAGACCTTTAACGCCATTAATTTAAATTATTTTAAATATCCGTTTGATAGAGAATTTTCCAATCTTCCATAATCTCCAATTTTCTGGTTGCTATCTCTTTTAATTTCGAAGATATTCGCTATCAAAAATCGTCAATAAAAATTATCAAGCACTCACCCTTGCCCATTTTTCTTATAATTTGAAATTTCATCTGTTAGATTTCCAGTTTAACTATCTGATGTTATAAAGAATTGTCCGTAGATTAAGATTCGGCGATTCGTTCCATTCTATCTTTATCACATTGAGGTGTTTAATCATTATAATACGTTCTTGACTCTTGACAATGAGTTAATTTTATGTAAAAGTTGATCATGAAAGGAAATATCATTTTGCCTGGAAAACACACCATATATTTTATACGAATGGAGCAAATCACATTTTGTGCTCTTATGATACTTAAGAGTTCATTAATAAGTTACGCATCTTCCCGACCCTTTCAACCTTCTACAAGTGTTCGAAAAATGGCTCACAAATCGACATTATTTTCACATTTCAAAAAGTTGGTTTAGATAACAGCCTGTATCTCGTGAACTAATACACACTTTGTGCGTTTCTAAAGGCCATGTTATAATTTAAGAGACGCTCTACATCTTAATTGACATTATGTGCTGCATACAAAATTTGAAACACATGGAAACAATAATTATTGACTATAATAGTCTCAATTGTGGGACTAGTATCTGTCGCAATCATAGATGACACTAGGATGCACTAAAAATTATAAAATTGAGTTATACGGCTTATTTTTATATTTGTCGACGAACGTGGGCACGAGAATAGTTTTGTATACAATGCTGTCATCTGCGATTCGGTGCAATCAACAGTTTTAACGCATGTGTCCCGCGCGCTGTCTTCTAGCGCCGCATCAACTTGCTGCATGCAGTGAACTATAGTAATTTGTTTAATGTTCGGAAATGTCGGTTTCTGATCGCGTTTGTTATGTATATTAAAAGTCGGATAGATATTGACCTCATGTTGATTCTCATTATTAAGAAAGATCCATCAGGCTCGTGTATGTATATTTTAACTAAACAGCACAGATGGTTTATTTTGTGTTAATTGTCAATTATAACATAATTCAATTGTATGAAATATATTTGTTTTAATTTATGTTTTCGTTTAGTTATAGCACTCGATGTGCCTGGCAGTTCGATAAGCTGAACACTGGTCAGTTTATAATTCAATTACCTATATTTTTCGGTCAAATTTTCATTTGCTGTTTATAAAAAAGTTTTCTATTTATTACATATTACCTACCTGTAGGGCCGATGATTAGGTCAATTGGGGTAAATTTCCCGGGGTCCGCTCGAATCGCACTTCAATCGCAAACACAAAAAAATTAACAAAAAATTAACGATGGCCGCTAAAATAGGCCAATTTTTAAAAATTTTTCTCACACCCGGTGGAAAATCGGCCATATCTCGGGAACCCTTCGTGATATTTTAAATTTTTCTTTGGATTCTGTTAGGGTAAGAGCTTGTCTTCAAGATGCAATTCTATCCCATCGCAAAATTCCATCCTATGTAGCACAAAATGGCTGCCAAGATTTGCCAATTTTATAAAATTAAAATCGGGAATATATCGGGAACCCTTTGTGATATTTTCATTTTTTCTCTGGATCCTCTTAGTGTAAGAGTTTATCTTTAAGAAGCCATGATGTCCCATCGCGAAATTCTATCTTAAGTGTCTCAAAATGGCCGCTAAAATTTGCCCATTTTTTAAAGTTTTCAAGAGACCCGATGGAAAATCGGCCATATCTCGGGAACCCTTTGTGATATTTTTATTTTTTCTCTGGATCCTCTTAGTGAAAGAGTTTATCTTCAAGATGCAATACAGTCTCATTTCGAAATTCCATCCTAACTGCCTCAAAATAGCCGCTAAAATTTGCCCATTTTTTAAAATTTTCTAATCACCCGGTGGAAAATCGGCCATATCTCGGGAACCCTTCGTGATATTTTATTTTTTCTCGGGATAATTTTAGTGCAAGAGTTTACCTTCAAGATGCAATTTTGTCCCATCTCGAAATTCCATCCTAAGTGCCTCAAAATGGCCGCTAAAATTTGCCAAATTTTAAAATTTTTTATAACACCCGGTGGAAAATCGGTCATATTTCGGGAACCCTTCGCGATATATATATTTTTTTCTGCATCCTTTTAGTGTATGAGTTTATCTTCAAGGTGCAATTTTGTCCCATCGCGAAATTCTATCCTAAGTGGCACAAAATGGTCGCTAAAGTTGGCTCATTTTTTAAAATTTTCAAATCACCCGGTGGAAAATTGGCCATATATCGGGAAAGCTTCGTGATATTTTCATATCTTTTTTGGATTCTGCTAGGGTAAGAGTTTACCTTAAAGATGCAATTCTGTCCCATCTCGAAATTCTATCCTAAGTGCTTCAAAGTGGCCGCTAAAATTCCCTTTTTTTAAATATTTAGAACACCCGGTAGTAATTTATTAATTTTTTCGATATTATCATTTTGTGTTATGTTATAAAAAGTATTGTGTTGATAAATTTGAACTTTACTTGCTTTGGTATTGTGTTTACGTTTTGTGATATACATATTCGCCGGGCAACAGCGACATCAACTTATTCTTGTAGTTTTTTTATAGCTCGTTTGTTTATGCAGGTGTGTATTATTTTCTATTCTGAACGCGAATTTAAATCTTCAAACGCGAATATCATGTTGTAGCACTAACAAACTTGGACACACAATAATTATTAATTGTTTTTTAATTTTAATTGCAGGGTTTCATACGGCGCACGAATATCCTTTGCTATCAGAAGAGGATATGGAAAGATGACACAGCAATAGTGTCGTTCAACAATGCGACTGCCGGCGTGACTGACGGTTTATGCGTTAATCTTAACGAAGTAGTGTCTCCCATACGAATCGTCCAAGTTTGATGTGCGCGATGGCAACGTATTGTATTGTCAAATATTTGCTGCTTGTCGTGCAATTATTTTTGCATACATTGTATTAAAACAAACAAATGAAACCCATATCATCCTTTTTAATTAGTATAATTAGCACCCATCGATATAATCATAAAAAAACTACCTAACTTTTAAAATGAAAGGACGCATTATTATTGTTTATTTGTTATTGTACACGCGTTCATAATGTGCACCCACTGACTTCAAATGTATTTGTTTATAATTATGGCGATTGAAAAATGCAAGGTAAATTAGATTTGCAGGATACACTCTACAATAAATTTTAAGGGGTCATATATCTGTAGAAATTTCTGCACAAATGTTGCTATAAAAAAAGGTGCAAAGAGTTTACACGGTGTGTGAAATTTATGGATAGCATATTGTTTCAATTGTTTTTCTATTTGTTTAAAGCGTGTAGATGCAGCTATTGTAATGACCCCATTATGTTTAGGTAGGTCAGAACTCATAAAAAGTATTGTTGCGCCAAAAATATTTTTGTAGAACGGGTAGCGATGTCTGTTTATTGTTATACTGGTTTTTGTCATGCGCTTTTCTCAGTCCACCCGTATTGGACCTTTCCTGTATTTTTGTCTATTCTTGTGTATGTTCATTTCCGTTCTTGTGTGCTTGTATTATTTGTGTAGAACTTGAGAAATCCTGTTATTGTGAATAGATTTTTGTTGATTTACCTTAGATGTAAAGTGTATTGTTACTTGTGTTTTCTGTGCAAAGCTTGATTTTGTATTAGTTAGTTTTGCATTATTTTCGACGTGTGAGTAAATGTATGCATGTCTCACCTGTTATCCTTGTATAGTAGATTGTAGTTTTTTTGTGTTTAAATGTGTATACGTACCTCGTATTGTGTCCTTAATATGTAGATTTTTGTACAAAAATATACTGTCCTTTTGTGTAAATTATTGTATGTTTCTTGTAATATCCCTGTAGGAGTTGGGAATGTTTTAGTTAATGTATAAATTTTAGTAGTAGTAGTAGCAATAGTTGTAGTAATAACAATAGTATTAGAAGTTGTAGTAATAGTAGTAACGATAGTAGTAGTAGTAGTAGTTGTAGTACGAGTATAGGAGTAGTCTGGTGTCATCTCTATAGGACTTACGTTTTTAATAAATAGTCCTTTATTGATAGTACAACAAAGGAGTAAATAGCATCAAATAATATTTTACTTTTATTTTACTTTCTAAATCGTACACCATGTTATTTCTTTATAATAATTGATAATCATTCAGTCAATAAAGGCTCATTTAATTTTACATTATTGCTTACATGTGTCCCTAGTGTTCACTTAGTCTTTTTCAGGATTAGTATTAAGTCATGTTGAACTCTAAGAGTACACCATAGTTTAGCATAGTACAGTGCATTATACGTATGCTGTAGTTTTATTGTACTGTAAGATTTGAAAGGATAAATAGAAGAAACGAATAAGATATGATAAGTAAGCCGTGTGGCTCTCAGGTGTGCAGCACATGCTGCCATACCGTAGGTCGATGGTTCGATCCCCAACTATAGCAGGCATTTTTCTCAAATATGAAAATAACAGGTGTAATTTGGGTTGCATATGTAAACTTAAATGAAATATAAGAAAAATTGCAATACAAGTGAAGAGGCAATAAGAGAAGTAAGAAAGTAAGTGTAGAAACGGAGAAGTAAAGGAAGAGAACAGAGTAGAGAAGATAGATAAGAGGAGAGAACAGAAGGAAGAGAATGGATGAGTGGATCAGATTTTTAAATTTTTTGGCACGTGTCGTTATAAGACAGTCTACGGCCGGAGGCGCTCACTGCTTCGATGCGTCCATTGCTCCCGGCCCATCCTACAGCTACGATGTCTCTGCGCTTCATCCCCGAAATACTCAGGCATATCAACAATTTTTATGGTGGGGGATCACCCCCGGAGAGAGGAAACTCCTTATAAGGTCTTGTTAAAATATTTTTAAGTTTTAAGTCGCCTCAAGACAGGCGACACTTAAAAATATTCTTACAAGTTCTGACCTGTACCTGAAATGATAGAAAGGAGGGGCGCACAAGTCATAAGATATTACCATTGCGTTTAACATTTCTTTATTAACAAATTACATACAATACAAGTTCAGAACTTGGAAATTCAATACCTACAGAACACATGACGTCATTTTAAAACATGTTTATGACCTGCATAGCCGCGCTTTGCTAACGGCTACCAAATTAGAAAAGGTAACACTAGAAAATAGCAAATTGATGTCGCGTGACATCACTGGAAAATTATATACAAGGTGTCACCAAAAGAAAATCAACAATGTAAAAATAAATTGGCTCCAAAACGATAAAGATTGCCAATGTTTTGGCCGAGGACAAAGGAAAAATTACTTACAGGGTGTTGTCAAAAGAAAATCTTCCATTTAAAAAGAAAAATCGCCCCAAAATAAATTTTAATACAGGGAAATACAAAAATAAATCTGCATCCGGGAGAATTTTTCCGAACTTACTGACACCGCGTTCGCGTGTTATACTAAAAAAAATACAATTCCTAGCGCAACGAGTACTAACTTCTTCCCACCCACACAACTTTCAATATAACTCGCGATACGAAATTTTGTCGCAATAAATTCAAATACAGAGTAATTCAGAATTAAATTCCGCACCTGGGAAAATTATTCTGAACTTATTATGACACCGCGTTCGCATGCTATACTAAAAAACTACAATTCCTAGCGCAACGAGTACTATGGCGCATACACACAACTTTTAATATAATTCGCGTTACGGAATTTTCTCGCAATAAATTTCTATAAAAGGAGATACAGAATTAAATTGCGCATCTGGAAAAATTATTCCGAAATTACTGTGAGACCGAGTTCGCATGTGATTCTAAAAAAACTATAATTCCTGCCACAACGAGTACTACGGTGCACACACACAACTTTCAATATAACTAGCGTTACGGAATTTTCTTGCAAAAAAATTCAATACAGGGAGATACAGACAGGGCCGTCAAGAGCCAATGCGGGCCCCGGAGAAAAGCCGCGGGCCTCTGCAATCATTAATTTTTTGCAAACTTTTTAGATTTTAGAATTGTTGAAATTTTAGAAAATTTGAAAAATATAATTGAATTATAAACTTAACAATGCAGCGCTCATCGGATTGCAAGGGTGCAGCAAATACTGTAATTGAAAGAGAACATAAGGTAAAACAAAAACATTTCATACAATATGATAATATTATATTCACACATGGGAGAAAACAAATTTTCTGTGCTGAGTATCGCAATGGTTAGATAAAAGTAACTTACTCAAGCACAAATAGATTTCCGATTGATCTAGCGACCGACCACGTCCCACAATAACCGACAGCCGACTAAAAGAGATAAATAAGATCTGATCACAGCGTCTTAATCTACGGACTATTCCCTATAAAATGGGACAGTTAAAACGGAAGTCTGAGAGATGAAATTTTAATTCTTAAGAAAAAATTGCCAATTTTTATCGACGATTTTCGATAATTAATATCTCCTAAAATAAAAGCGGTCGCAACTAACGAATTGCTGATTATAAAAAAGTGGAAAATTCGCTATCTGATCAAAGTAAAAAATAGTTATGTTTTCAACAATAAAAGTTCAAAACGCGACTAAAAGTACTAAAAAGTGACATTTTTCAATTTTTGACGATTTTTTTCTATCGCGAATATCTCGTAAGCGAAAAGATATAGTTAGGCACAAATCGCAGGGACTATTCTACGGACTATTCTTTATAAGATAGGTTAGTTAAAACGGTAAGCAGAGAGATAAAATTTTAATTCCTAAGAAAAAATTGCCAGGGGACAAATGGACAAATGTCAGCTATAGAATCATCCACATATGGTGCGAACACGAGTCACTTCTACCGCTGCCCTTGTGCGGTGCCCTGAACACGAGTCACTTCTACCGCTGCCCTTGTGCGGTGCCCTGAACACGAGTCACTTCTACCGCGGCCCTCGTACGGTGCCCTGAACCCGAGTCACTTCTACCGCTACCCTCGTACGGTGCCCTGAACACGAGTCACTTATACCGCGGCCCTTGTAGAGTGCCCTAAATACGAGTCACTTCTGCCACTGTCCTTGTACGGTGCGCTGAACACGACTTACTTCTAAATTATTCGGAACATATTATGACACCGCGGTCGCATACTATACTAAAAAAAAAACTATAATTCCTAGCGCAACGAGTACTACGGCGCACACACACAACTTTCAATAAGACTCGCGTTACGGAATTTTCTCGACAGGGCCGTCGAGAGCCAGTGGCCTCGGCCTCGGCAATCGTTAATTTTTTGCTATTAGCTTTGTTTGCAATTTAAGCGCGATAAGCCGGGCCTCGGGAAATTAATCCCAGTTTACCACTACCCCTCTCATCGGCCCTGCAGGTAGGTAGTACGTGATAAATAGAAAACTTGTCTATAAACAGCAAATGTAAATTTGACAATAAAATATAATTGAATTTTAAACTTACCAGTGTTCAGCTTATCGGACTGCCAGGCACAACGAGTGCTGTAACTAAACGAAAACATAAATTAAAACAAGAATATTTCATACAATGGAATTATGTTATAATTTACAATCAATACAAAAAAAAACATTCTGGGCTGTTTAGTTTAAAATACTTACTCGAGCTTGATGGAGATATAAATTCGATTAATTTTGTAACCAACATCAAGCACCACGCCGAATGAAGAATGTTATCAAATCCACTATCACGTGACTTGTAATATACATAACAAACGCGATTAAAAACCGACATTTCCGAAATTACTATAGTCGCAAAGTACAAATAAATAGTCGATTGATCTTCGAGTACACAAATTTAGAATATTGAAGTCCAAATAACCGATATAAGTCTCTCTCTCTAACATCATTGTATACAAAACTATTCTCGTGTTCACGCGTGTCGATAAATATAAAACTAAGCCATCAATGAACGGGACAGATACTATTCCCGCAATTAAGACTATTATTATTAATAATTAATGTTTCCGCGTGTTTCCACTTTTGTATGTAGTGCATATTGTCAATTAACATGTTGAGCGTCTCTTAAACTATGTTATACCGCATGAACGCAGCAAATGTTTATTAGTTCACGAAATACAGGTTGTTATCTAAGCCAACATTTTGAAATGTAATAATGATGTCGATTTATAAGCCATTTTTAGAACACTTGTAAAAAGTTGAAAGGGTCGGGAATGTGTTTGATCATTTTTATCGACAATTTTCAATAGCGAATATGATCCAAACTAAAAGTAATAGCAACCACAAAATTGCATATTATGGAAGATTGGATAATTCTCTATCAGATGGAAATTTAAAAAAATTTAATTTATAAACTAAAATAGATAGCAACCCGAAAAATGTAGATTATGAAATATGGGAAAAGTCTGTAATTGGTAAGAATTAAAAATAATTTAATTTCATGTTTTTCTTTACAAAAACATGACTGCTTACAAAAGTGTTTTGGATTATTGAAGAAATCGACACGGCAGCGATCCGATTCAGCTAGTAACCGACACCCAACACTTTGTTATTGTGCACCGATTTTATAACTTGCAATGTACAGATCAAACGCGATTAAAAGCTATGCATTTGGGGACATAAACGCGCGAAGAATCGTTAAGATAAAATTATAGGTGCCTGTGGCAATTATATTCTGGATTTAATACAACGAGGATAACCGAACCAAAATTTAATGTAATGCAACGAGTCGAAACCGATCAGCGATCGGCGCGGAACTAAAGGCTGTATACCCGAATATGTCGAGAACGCGCACGACAACTTGTGTTAACACAGCCCGCTGCGCGGCACGCGAAAGCAAGAGATGCGTAAAGTCGATGCGCGTCGATAGCACGCGACCTTGTGGGCGAATTGCAATACATAGGTATAATACCTGCAATCCAAATTAAACTTGAATGTGCTGGATACGGGGATCTTATGCGTTGCATTTTGTTCGACACTTGCGATAAGAAATATGTTGTTTACACACAAATGCAGGTAACAGAATTGTGTTCAAAACTATTCTCGTGCCCACGTTTGCCAATAAATATACAAATATAAGTCTATACTGTATAAGCCTATTTTATGATTTTTAGTTCATGCTATTGCCATCTATGAATCATACAAATATAAGTCCTACAATTTACATTTTTACAATAAATAAATAATGACAATATGCAAATTTCCACTTTAAATTTATCTGTACAAAAATGTTATTCACACTGCGTCAAATTACCGGAAAACTATAAATGGCAGAATAAAATATTATTATAAACAAAACACATTGGATCTTTTGCAATAAAAATTTCAAAATTTCAATTTAATTTTACGGTGGAAACATTTACAAATTCAATCAAATTGCCGGAAAACTATGACTACTAGAATGAAATTTCTCTGAGATATAAAAAAATCAGAAAAATCTTTACCGTTAATAAAACAAAAATTATTAATTTTCCAAGAACTTTCACATTCAGATACACGCTAAATAAATTTTTTAAATAATTAAATTATTTTAATTACATCGATAACCGTAAAACAACAGCAAATTAATACCGAAATAAAGAATAAACAAAACATAAGTTGTACTAACTCGTACAGTCAGAAAACATTTAAATTCCGACGGAATCTAGTTTTTGACTTAAGATTACTATTATTCGCGATAATCTTTCAAATGACAATATTTACCTGGTAGCATATTAATCTACAAGTATCTGCTGATGCTGATGATGATTTGCACAAATTATTTAATTATTGTTGTTAACTAATAATCACCGGTGGTCGTCCGACGGCAATGAACTCCCAAACAAACTCGTAAATATACCAAACACGCAAAATTTAGAAATATACAGATTACACACGCGACAAATAATTAGTAAAATACCAAACACGTCAATATATACAATAATTATCTTTCACGACCGCGATTTATAGAATTTATATTAAAGAATAGCATCAGTCGAAGGAGAGAAACGTGTGCCGGACGTTATCGTACTATCGCGCCGATGAAACACAACAACAACATTCACCCGCTGGAATATTTTTAGTTAAACATTCATCGTCTCGCCATCTGACGATGCTTTTTATTACTTCAAGAATATATTAAGTGTTTCATAAAGGTGTGGCGCGCATGTGTAGCAGTGAGTGGTCACGTAGTTAAATGGTAGGGCGCCCGTGGCTGTGTGAGCACGCGTTCACAAAAGTGTGCAATGCACTGTGCATACACCACACTGTTGAAACAAATAGCAGATTTCAAAAATTTAACGTAAATCAAACATTTTAATGTTTAATTCTATAGAGAGCATTTCAATGGCTAAAGTAATACAACAGAAAGAGTTTTTATAAGATACAGTGTGTTTTCCACTCCAAATTTGTTTGTTACCAATCAAATAAAACAAAAAACAGGTAAACTTGAGCGAAAAAGGCCCATAATAAAAACACAATTTATTATTATTACATAGAATGATATTAATTCACAATAATGAAATGATAACAGCATAATAACAGTACAGTTGATAATGTTTTCTTTAATCGCTTATGAGATATAATATAATATTCACAAGTATCACAGGTGGAATTGGTCCCGGAGCCGCTGATTAATTAGACGGAGCTCTCTTTGTGCGGTGGCGGGGTTTGCGTGGCGCAATTGCGCGACTGGAGAATCGGAGCCCACGTCACGTGGTACGGCTTGACGGGCATCTGCGTGGCGCTGTTCCGCTTCGTACTCGGCCGGGCGGTTATTGTGTACGGAGCGGAACAATCCAAAAGACTTTCTAGGGCAACATTTCACGCAATTAGATACAATAATCAAAACCACATCAAATCAATCACCAATAATAAATAAAGACTTACCATTACTAGGTGGTATCAGATCGGGGTTCTTGTCATCGTTGAGCGACGTGTCCGTTGTGAACGTGGACGCGCCTGGATTGAGCGGGATCTCTTCGCGTTTGGGGCTACGCTGGCGGCGGTCGTGTACTGGACTATCGACTTTGAAGCGTCTGACGGCGATGATGATGGCGCCGATGGCACCAGCGACGATGAGCGTCGCGCCGGCCGCCAACACGATGTACAACCACGGCCCGCCGCCCCCCGACGATTTATCTTCCCCCACGGGACCTGTGTACCTTCGTTCCTTGAGCCCGGGCGCCGGAAGGGTGCGCACCGATAATGGATTCGAAGCCTTCGACCAACCTGGAAAACGCGGCAGTGAGTAGCCAAGAATCAACGTAGAAGAGGAAAAAATACACGCCAGCACAATGGCGCATTGTGCTGCTCTCGAGGGGATTTAATCAAATGGTTGCATAAATTACAATAATCCTATTATGCTGCCTATATTTTTTTCGGCGTTTAAATATTTTCGTGCATTAAAATATTGAATTTCATAATGTCCCGGATTATTGATTCTTTTCAAAATGAATAAAAGCTGATAAACCTTTATCTATTCAATTCATTTTGCCATTAACAGATGTAGAATTCAATTTAATTATGGATTAAAAGCTGTAGTTTTTGGTTATGTTTTCAGAATTTTATAAAATTTGCTTTTTTAGTCAATTAATAGAAAAATATTTTTTCCAAATTGATTTTCTCGAGAAGTAAAAAGGTTAGAGAGAAATATCTTTTATTTTCTTGATATCCTGATAATACTTTATATGTTGGCAAATTTATTTTCGATTTTTGATTCATTTTTGTCTAAAAACTTTAAAAAATCTTCTTCTTCCTTAAAAGTTCCACTTTTCCACGATTTCAAAACCCGAAAAGTAGCATTTTTATCACGATCGGCCAAAGCCAGGACTAAAGTACTTTAGTCACGGATTTTGGTCACGGGGTGGAGCTTGCGCCTGCGCATTTATCTACGGTATTGGTTTTTGGTCAAATTTTGCTCTAAATGAAATATAATTTAACTTAGAATTTTGTTTTTTAGTTATTTTTCGGCAAATTTCAAGTTTTTGCTTAATCACACCTGGTAGCAAATCATTACTTTAATAACCAGATGAAAATTAGCAACCTGACAGCTAACAAACGGTCATTTCCAAATACTGCGCCAACAGCATTCACTAACTGCATGTTGATGTAACATTTCGCATTCCGAGTAATCTAAATCAAAAGCGCGAAACTATCGCCGTAAAACGAACCGAGACAGAAAACCCTACCGCGGGCGCGCGCTAAAACCATCTCTAAATAATTAACAGCGAGTTGATGGGTTGCGCCCGCAACACGCAGATTAAATCCCGGATATATATTGGATGAAACAGTTTCGGTATACCTTTGGCGTTGATTGAATAAATCGTGGCGATGTAGTCCTGCGCCGGCTCGAGATTAGAAATGAGAAACTCGGGCGCGGACGCTGAAAGATTGGCGATGAGCGCATCGGCGGCGGTGACGAGCAGCGCGAACTTTTGACGCATGCCGCCGTCGAAGCCCTTCTTGCAGACGAACACCGTTGAGTGGTGGGTGATGTTGGCAAAAGCGCACATGTTGGGCGGGTCGGGTTTGCCGGCCGGCACGATGTGGTAAGTGCAGGGCATACGCTGCGAGCCCAGTTCGTTGCGGCCCCAGCACTGCAGGGTGCCGTAGTCGGCCGCCACTTTGGGCGTGTAGGTGAGCTGGCTGCCGCCCGGCTCGGCGGTGAACTCGGTCAGCTCCTTCGAAATCCCTGGCGTGCTGTTGAAACTCCAACGGAACAATTGCGCTGCTGGTTCGGCTTCCACCTATGAAAAAACAAAATTTTTGGGTTGAAATGAATTTTGTGATTAATTCATTGATTTAAAAAAAATCGGTGCTACCGGTATTTTTTAATCAAATTATTATTTTATTATATTTTATATATGTACATCAATTTAAAAAAAAATACCGGTATACCGTAATACCGGTATTTTACTATCGGTATTATTTCTAATTTATTAAATTTTCTTTTAAATTTATTTGATTTTTGAATAAAATTAAAATTAAAATCAAATTTATAAAATATCCGTATACCGAAATACCGGTATTTATTTAAGATACTCATATCTGCGTCAAATAAAAGATTAAAACCAATTTTATTTGATGATTATAGGGACAAAGTGCGTCTTGAGTGCAGAATAAATTTTTAATGCTTGAAAATTTTACGATCGCGTAACATTCGCTACAATAGCAAACGTAAATTCATAACACGCAGCATTCTGCAAACAATAAAAGTTGCCATCAAGTTGATATCGCAACTTGCGATGCTGAAGCATTATGCATTATTCTAATGCACTCTGCGCGCTCGCGTTCGCTTTGTGCGCCTATTGTACATTGTGATACAAATGCGCGCAAATTGCCAGGAGCATTTTTGATTTACAGCGCTGCAGTTTGTTGTGCGGCGGCTCGTTACGTCGCTTTGAGCGGATAAATTGGGTGTAAAGTTTTGGGCTAAACTTTGCGACGCGATGATTGTCACTCGCAGTTTGTCGCCAAGACCGGCGGCAAGTTTTCAATTAGAGGATAAGGCACTCGCTGAATGAGATAATGAGTGTCCTTTATTACGGCCATTAATGCTGCGCTGATAACAAGCGGCACGCTGCGCGCCGCGTAAATGATTTAAGTGTTTACATGTGGGAATTTGATACGCGGCATGTTATGACGAGTTGTAATCGGAGACTGGTTCTAATTCATGTTGGAAATGTTAAGTAGGGAATTGGCTTCTTTTGTGGTATGGAATATTACCCCTATCAAATGACAAGTGTCAGTTTAATTTCATGGTTTATCTTTTTTTCAAAAAATAAGAACTTTTTTTTTGAAATTTTACTTTTTCTACGATTTTGAAATACATAAAGTAGCATTTTAGTCACGGGCGGCCATAGCCGTGACTAAAGTACTTTTGTCACGGGTGGAGTTTGCGCCTGCGCATGCGCTACATATTTATTTCAAATCAACGAAATATCAAATTTCATTTAAAATAAGTTTCTTAAAATTAAGTAAAATTATTGAATTTTTGTTTAATTTCCTCAGGGAAGAAGCAAATTGAGATACTATTAATGGCAAATTGGTGTGAATCGAACGTTAAGCCAAATGCATACATCCAACACGTTTAATCAGCATATCGACGCCGTGCGGATTTCGCCCTCGCACGAATCAATAACTTGGCATAATAAGCGCCAAGCGAGTCGTACACGTCCTCGAATTATGCTAGTTTACGACTCATGTAAAGCAAGCGTTCGCCAATCGATTTATTCGAATCCGGAGACTGTATCTCGCGGCACGGCGGCGATTTGCTCCTTGGTAACCTAATCCTGTCCTCGTTCATCCTTTCGATCCTTTAGTTATGCACTCACCTAGGCGCGCCCGCCGGAAATCGCATTTGAGGTCTCATATTTCCCCTCGCAACGACCGCACGTATTTACCAAATTAAGTCCACTTAACCCGCGATTGAAAATGATTGCATGCATTACCAACACTTGCAAATCGCAGCGCACCATATGCTTCTCCAAAATAAATAGAAAAATAAAATAAATTGAAAAAAATATACTCGCTGGGTAGTAAATTGTGTAATGCTTTTATTTCGACCGATATATCAAATATTTTGCCCCCGGATGCAGCGACAAACTCCCGGCGTGTCGAAAAAGTTCGCTTGTTAAACGGGCATAAACAGAGCAATGCTTTATATCCTCGAGCGGCGTAGGCGGAGGCGCCGGGCGCGCGAATCTCCGCTGGAGCGAGCGACGTTAGCTCAGCGCCGAAAAGAGACCGAGCGGGTTATAGAAAGCGCCTTCGCGAGCTATATCCTATCATGGGCACAAATCCATAGTTAGATATATGTGTGCAGTTTTAGTGGCGTGTTCCTGCCGCCTTCGGAAGACCATCGCATTCTGGCCCATTCTACGACATTCGAATGATATCGATTTCCAAACTTTTCCAAGCGAAAAAGTTTCACTCGAGGTTTTTACTTGGAGCTTCTTTGTGCTCTGGAATATTCTGGATCTACTCAAAATTAATTCAATTGTTTGTGTTTTCAAAATTTGCCAAAATGTTTAATCAATGTGTGTAAATTGTAAAAAATATAGGCACTCAGGAAATTTTGATAAATTTTGCTGTGGAGATATTTTAGACCAAGGAGAATAACATAGGCCACTTTTTGTCGCTAAAATATAAATTAAAGGGTGTGAAAAATAGTTTACAAGTTTGTACAACGAGAAAGATAAATAACGCTAACGTATGCAGAGAAATGTGATGAAAATGACGGCCGGTATTTACGTATTGAATATTACACATATAAAATAAAGAAATAAAGGTCCAAGTGTATGTAGCCTGTTCGCGTGTGTCCAATGCCCGAAATCTGCACGAATTTGTACCGGGCGGACGAACATCACCTACTAATATTATTAATGCGAAAGTCCTGATGTTTGTTACACTTTCACGCAAAAACTACTTAACCGATTATCATGAAAATTTGTACACATATTCTTAGTGGTCCCCGAATGGTTATAGGCTACTTTTTATTTAATAAAAAAAATTATTTTTTAAATAAAATAAAGAAATTGTTTGGCCAATAATACCTCTGCATCTGGCTATTTGACTACTTTAACACCATCTAGCATTCCAGCAATGAAACTCAAACCTAAGTACTATAGTACCATCACACTGTATTATCACACTGTATTACCGATAGCTACGTCAACATCAAATCCAATTGACTACACTATGGAGACTGTACACTATACTTCCATAAACAATACTTTCAGCCATTTTAAACTTCCCGCCATTCTACTTCATTGTTACTTCTTGTGTGACTACAGCCGCGGGTTAAAGCTAGTATAATATAGTTATAGTTGCATTCTAGAATAATTTTCTGTTTTGAGCTCTAATAAAGAAATATTTTAATAAATTAATGTTTTTCAACTTTTACATTAATTTAAATATTACAAATTTTAATTATTTTAATAAATGAACACAATTAATGTCCTTTTAACAAACTTCCCTGATTAATCCCTTCAAAACACACAGTTATAATGATGTGATTGCATCGCAAACTGCCACGCCGAGTATATTCAGCTTTAACTTTAATTTTAAAACTAGTAAAGTTGTCATCGCGAGTTTGCCCAGCAAGATTAAATTACATTCGGGCCGAATCCGCGCAGTTTCAACTCCGATAAGGTATCTCCATAACATTATCTCTGGTTATTCAACACGCATTAACAACAACTACGTGCAATTAGAGATATACTCGCCCGCATGCATCGCCCGGGAGAAGTTTTTCAATTTAACGCACGTTCGCACAACAAAACGAGAAAAACACACAAAAAAGTATCCAAGTAAACACTCCAGACATATAATTGGGGAGCGCGAATATTTCATGTGACTTTTTAAATGTAGAAAATTACCCCGGCGTAAATCAATATTGTGATTGTTTTGTGAGGACAATTTGTGTTGCCTTTGTGTTGGGATCAAAGAAAGCACCAGATAATTGCGAGCATGCCACATATGTTTTAAACAAACAAGTCCAAAAGGACAAATTGCCGCAGGCCAAACGTACAGAAGCAAAAAGAGAGAAATTTTATTTCTGAAAAAAATGTAGATAGATGGACAGCAAAATAAATGTCATATATTTATAACTAACAGAGCGTTAATTTGCTATTTTACGAGTATTGTCGATATATGATATATCAAATATATTATATATAATATATAACATATACGATTCTCGATTTCGCAATTTTCTCGTTTTTATGTCACGGCTGTTTCGAATTTTCCGTAATAAACCTCGAAATCTCGACCTTTTTTTCGGTCGGGCGACGCAGACCGATAAAAAACTAGAGTGTCACGGAAAGTAGTCGAAATATATCAAGGTGTGTGCATGTTGGCAATTCAATTTTTCGTCCGCCGCGGCCATTCAGATCGACGCGAACCGGAAGCCGGAAAGCGGCGCAAATCAAATTAGCGCCCGCTCTCTTTCCGATCCACCATCACAAATTCCAATTACTACGCTGGCAATTCAAGAATTTTTTGTGCAAAAAAACTGCACACAAGTTTTCAATTCAATTGTAAACATTAATTAAACGCAATAAATCATGATATAAAAGTACACATCGTTGATTAAGGTCGATGAATTGAAAAGAAAACTGTATTACATATTAAGAATGGAAAATAGAACTACAGCGCCATCTAGCAATCACTTATATAACTATAACTATTTTTATAAATTTTAATGTCATATTCAACACACTTGAAATTATAGATTTTAACATTTTAAGAGATATTCTACTATTTGAGTAAAAAATGAATATGAAAAACCCTAGATCATCAAAATCTGTCTAGCCGTTCTTGAGTTATAAACGATGTAACTAACATTTAGCTATAAATGCATTGTTTTCCACTCTGTATTTTAACCTAGCAGCTGAAAGACTTTGACGACGCGGAAAAAGAAGTAATTAAAGCCACCCACCTTGCACTCGACGGTTAGCGGCTCGTCCTTGGCGGCGCCGAGCACTTTCCTGCCGCTCATATCGCCGCAGACGGGCTCATATTTTACTTTCAAATGAAAGGACGCGCTCTTCGACGATCCCTCGGTGTTGCTGGCCTCGCAACAGTATCGCCCCGAGCTCGTCCGGCTCACGCCCTGCGCACACACAAAACGGCATTAAATTTTCATTGTAATTAAGAAAAATACGTTGCGCCGCGCGTAATTATCATAATAACCGGTGGTGGCGGCGCCAGCGGCGAATCAAAGCGCATCGCGACGCCCGGTGAATTATTTTAATTAAGTTTCGGCTTTAAATTTCACCCTCCAAATATAAACTGCCACCAAGTGTACAAAATAAATGTACATATATTAAATTTTATTATATTATATTAATAGATGTTTGTAAAGAGTTTATTTTTGTACTTTCAGTTGAATTTTAGCTCAATTCGGGTGTGTGGGCGATGGCGCAATCGATTTTCGGCGTTCATTTGCTTCCCAGGTTCTTTACTATCCGAATTGTCGCTACAAATTCAATTTACGCGGAAAATATAATACAAAATATTTTTAATTGAAATTTATCACTCGTTGTAGAATCAAATTGGCACGAATTCATAACACCATACTGCCAATTAATTAATTTGACTTAATTAAAGTTTACATCATCGTATAACTATTGTTTACACTCCGTTGTACACATAATTTAATTAACTAATTAATTTATAGAGCATATTTCGTTGATTTATTATTTAAAGCTAAATAAATTCATTTTATTCATTCTCTGTAATAGAAAATAGTTTTAATGAAGTCTCAAAGCGAATCTAAATCAAAATCACGACGAGCACTTCCGGACGTGTTCTTGCCATTGTGTCGAGAGAGGGTAAGAGAGAGTGGTCCTCGGGTAATATGCACTTCTTGCGGCGTACGTGATGAGAGCACGCTGGCGCACCGATAAAAAGCGCATTCCGCTCGCGAATGATTAATTTTAATGCCTTTATGCCAAACTTAATGAAATTGTCGAGTCGTAAGTTTAATGACCATTATAATGGCGAACCACCGCCTCGGCTACCTAAGTGCCTACAAGCTAATGTAATATTAATAGCGATTTTATGGATATCACACGATCTGCGCCCGGAAGTCGGCGGCCGGCGCGCCAGACATTAAACAAACATGCACCTAAGTATGGATGTCTCGGACCTTTTCGGTCGGCGGTAATAAATGCGAAATTTCCAAACGCGCGCGCATGTTTATGGCTTTGTAAACTTTCATTTTATGTCAATTAAATGTGTTTGCATTAAATCCGCGATAATAAAATCGCGTCGCGTTGATTTTGATTTCAATTTTGATTTACCTGTAATACTAGTGTTTGATTGCTGACGATTACACCGGATGTGGCGTTGCTGAGTAATCGTTGTCCATCTCTTAACCACCAAACTCTTAAAACCTGAAAAATCAAATTTTAAATTTGAATATATTATTAAAAATATTTTTTCCTAAATTATTTGCAATTGTCACTCAAAAAACTTTTATTTTGACAAAAAGTTCAATTTTAACATTGAATAACTTTTGATCGGGTCGATTAATCAAAAAATTATTATAGATATTTTTGTAGACCATTTAATTTTCTACAAAACTGCATCAATATCTTTTAGTGCAACAAATTGTTCGTGAGATACAAAAGAAAAAAGTTTTCTTTTAAATTTCATATTTCCTTATAATATATAAGTGCATAATATCTTTCATGTTTCGTTATAATTTAACAAAATTATACCCAGTTATCCTATCGTGAATGTAACTCAATGAATCAATTTTCCATTGAAAAATTTGCACAAATTTGTCCCGACGACATTGGGCCGCTGCGTGGCATTGACTCTCCCGGGCATGCACGACAATAACAATATTAATATAACGATACGACTATCGGGAAGCCCTCGAGCACGTCGCGTCAATTTTTGTTATTTTCTATTTTACTTCATTTTACTTGAGCAAATTGATCCCGCTTCGGTATAAGATCGTCGCGGCGGCTGCGGGTCTTCAAAGCACCGTATAAATATGTATTAAAAATTTCCGCAGCGCACGAGAAATTTACATCTTTTTCTTATTTTGCGTTCATCATCGTTGCGTTGCGAGACAGCGCAAAATTATCATCTGCATAACTTTTAATACGCACTCTACAAGAAAAAATCTATTGATTTTTCTATATATATTTATATGAGTAGGTATTATTTATATATTCTTTAGAGGTAATATTAAAGATTAAACTTAAGTTGAGACTTGAAAGTTTTATTTTTGCTGGGTATGGTGAACGCCGACGTCAAAGTGTAATCTCGTTCGATGACACACTCAAAATTAAAATTGCATTCGTGGCGAACACGGCGTGTGCTCGAAAACAGCAATTTCAAGATTTCAACATCGATGCAAAATTTATTCGATTTTCCACATTCTCCACGCGCCAAAACGACGGTGTTCTTTTCTCGCTTCGATATTGTACGAATGCATTATTCATACACCTTCGTATCAACAATGTGCAATCGTTGTTTATTTTGTTTGTGTACATTTCAAGCAGATACTCGCCGCGGTTGAATGAGGCGTGAATAAATGCAGAACTAAATTAGTCATAAATTGCGCATTGTGTGGCCTTGGGAATATTTCGGCGGGGCGAGAGGCGAGTTATCAGGTGATTGTGTTGGCGTCGACGCGGCTCCCAAGTTTAGTTGTTAAGTTTGGCGTTGTTGTAAAATTTCCGCGCGCAGCCGGGTTCTTGGCAACATATTTTCATAGAGACCCATATCAATACACGCCACCCACGCCATTCTGCCGGCGGCAACTTTCGGGGTGGTGAAATATGTGTGTGCACAAACCGCCGCACACCACACCAGTCCGTTCTATATTTCCTCTGCGTTCATCACAGCTAGCACAAACATTGGCGGAAAGTTTTGTTAGCACATCACAACACAACACAACAAAACAAAACAGAAATCAAAAAATTTACAGCGCAAGGATAATTATTAATTTTTTCTATTTCCAGCTTTAAAACACCCCTTTTCTCATGATTTTGAGACACAAAAATTAAAAATTATATCATAGAAGACCAAAGCCGTGATTAAAGCACTTTAGTCACGGGGTGGAGTTAGCGCCTGCGCATTTGCTTATAGTGCTGTACAAGGCAATATAAAATGCCATGCGCCGTCAGTCAAACATAGCGCATGCGCTGCTGCTGCTCGTGTAGGCGCCGCGCGCCTAAGCGTATGTGCGAACAAAGTGCGAAGTATAAAAAGTTCAAATGCAAAAACTAAACGTGGAAATAATTAAAAGTAGAAAATATAGCGAATATAGTACGTTGTTAACCGTAATAAAGTACCACTTAGTGCAATTAATACTCGATATACTATATTTTACTTTTTTTCCTAATATTAAATTTATGGTTTGTAAAAAGATCAAAGTTACAAGTTCATTTTTTAATTCGACATTTCAACTTTTCCATTATTTCACCGTTCAGGCCGACGTCGAAGCAAAATAAAGGCACTTGATGAAAACGACGCAACACAAATCTAATATTTAAAATGATGGCAAAGCTGATACATCACTCGGGGGTGCGCAGGAGAGAAGGGTACGACACTTTATAAAGAAAAGGTGACGCGCGCGGAGCGTTGCGTTGCCATGCCGACGCAATATTAGAAAGACATTTTCGGGAAATCAATTTATTTGCTTAAAAGTCTTCTGAGCTCTACACAGCTACACTTCATTGTACTCTTACTGCAATTGACAACAAAACAGAAAAAAGTAAAAAAAAATTTAAATTTTCACACAAACGCCATTTGGCCAGCATTCCAAATTCATATATATTCGGGAAACTATTTAGATTGCTGCGGAATATAAATAGGATGTAGGGTATAATCTGATCCCCTACTGCTTTCGCACTATAAATCTTACGCCGCCCGCCATACGACTACATCACCGGCGCCTCCACCAGCCAAATGGTAGGGCTTAACTCGCTACTTACAATTTGCACTCGGCTAGACGGCTCGCACTTCTCGGGATGTTTTCGTAAGTAATACACTTTTTGCAAATTCGCGCGGTGAAAAATGCAGGACACACAGGTTGAATTCATAAAACTCCGACTTGTCACACATGAATATATATTTTTTTATTTTTCTCTGCGACACTGAGAAAAATATGAAGATGAAGTCATGAGCGATGTGAGCGCATTGTCTTGAGTCCTGGCGCGCATTTAAGGTGAAAGTCGTATTTGTCACGCCGATGAAAATTCGTGCGTAGGCGTCTGCTTCTTCCGTTTCAATTATTTCACGCCGGAACAATGTGGAAAAGGCGGTTATTGAATAAATGCCAAGCTTTTGAGATCCTTCATCAGTTTTCCTACCCTACGGCGGCTTTTCTCTTTCGCTCGCCTCGAAAACTATGACGTTTTGTTATTGACGACTTTTCATTTGTCGACGTTGATAATAATATTAGGGCTGTAATATCACGCTGATAAATTTCAACTGTCAATACACGCAACAAATTCGATTTTGATTAATTTGTCATGTTTTCGGTGGTGTGTCGCGTGCGGCCGGACTTACACGCTATTTTCTTCGCATTTTTTTTCTCTCCGCGCTGAGGCGTGGGGAGATATAAATGGACGCAGGCGGCGAGGGTGGCGGCGGTTTGCGCACTTCTAAATAAAAGATGACATTTTTATCCACATTTTTATTATATACGACTTCATCATTATTTTTCCAACTTCTTCCGCTGCGTAACCCGCCAGAGATGGAATACATATTCATTTATGTTCGTATGAAAAGCTTTTAGTGTAAACGAATCAAAGAGAATTCATTTTATAGAGAGCACAACAACGGCGCGTATCACGTTTAAATAATTCCGCAGCCTGGAAAACTATTAAATGCGAGCATTATTTAAAACGCAATTTATAACAATAGATATAATGCTCATTTAAAATCATTATTTAATTGAAATAATCAATTTGGATAATTGTTTATGAATTATATCACGCGCGTGCTATTCATAAACCAATTATTTGTGACTCATTTGCATAATTCGAAACTGAGTGTATCTCATCGAGGCGCTCATTACGCCCGGATTTCGCACTGTAATTGAATCGCATTTATAAGATTATATTGTGACAAATTTCGTTAATTACATTTAAATCCTACAAGTGCTCAGTAAGACTGCAACTTGTTACTGTCAATTAAATTTTAATTTGTTTGCCCTCGGGACGTGTCAAGAATATCTGAATTTCCGCGTTGAATTAATGCTCGTTAGCGCAATTACGAAGTATTTTTGGATGCAGACTGACTAGGAATTCATTTACAGACTATTTGCACACTACACGCTTGAGAGGAAACATCAACTTTCAAATCACTTTCGAGATTATTTCCTGGGTTTTAATTTCTTGGAAAGAAATAATGGCATATTAAGTATCAAGTGCGCTAAGTGGCACTTCAACCACGTTCAGCGATGTGATGCTTACGTTATTTTATTTTAGTTTTACTAAATATCCTGGTTTAGTATATTATTTGAACTTTTTATTTTAAAACTGCGAATTCTGTTCGCACACTACTGGGAAATGTAAGGTTATAAATACATGGGAGTTCGCGCACGCAGTCGAAATTACATACGACCAAGCCCGCCGCGTCAACACGCGTATTTCATATGGTTTTGTACTGCACCGTTGGCACATGCGCAAACGCAAGTTCCACCCCGTGACTAAAGTACTTTAGTCACGGCTTTATTCATTTGTAATTAAAGAGTCATTTTTTGTATCGCAAAACCATAAAACTGTATAATTAAAAAAAACTGTTTTTTGTAATAAAATTATTATTTGTTTGTTATTTTATAAACTCGAGCCGTGAAACTACTAATTCACCCAATATTATAGAATTAATGGCAAAAATTCGAATAAATCTGGCAGAAACAACTAAAATTTGTTTATGTATGTAATAAAACCAGTAATATGCGTATAACATTGATCGAGTTTTAATTTATTCCACAAAAAGTCAAAATTTTATATCTGTTTCAATATGTTATTAAAAATAAACAAATTGATTAAATATTACAACATATTTAGTACCTCACATTTTGTATGTTATCAATTTTGCAATATTAATAAAATATTAACTCACATAAATGTTATTATTTTTTGGTGAAAGAATATTGCATTATTTAAAATTTTTGCCGACAGTAAGCAGAAATGTTTGAATGTGAACAAAGTCAATTTGGTTTGCTGATTCGAGTGCATTGATATCGAGCACACGCACGCGGCGGCGGAAAATAAGGAAAAATTTGCTTACCCACGGATTAGCGACGAGATGGCATTCGAAGTAGACGTCGGCGCCCTCCTTGATGTCGTTGGCGTCCAGGCCGTGGCCGAGGGTGAGCGTCACTTTCGGCGGATACAAGACACGTAGCATCCAAGTATCCCGCAATTCACTCAAGGGTATTCGATGGTTGGACGCGCGGCACGTTAGGAGCAGGCCGTGGTCGGACGCCGTCGGCGTGAACGTCAGCGTGCTGGTCGTCGTGTTGCCGTCGGCCGAGACCGCCACCGAGCCGCCCTCCAGCGACATGCCGTCCTGCATTCAGAAAACATTCGGGGTTGAACAGTAAAATCGATTTAGCGTCGCAAAAGTCAAACTTTCAGCATCACAACACCAAACAATCAAAACCCAAGCGGGGAAAATTTTATTTTGAGGTTTTAGGGAAGTTTTCTATAAACACTTTATTTGATTATGTGTTCAGCACAGTTTTATCACGTTAAAAATTTAATTCCAAGTGGAATATCAGCTTATATTGCATTTTAGACAAAAGAGTTAATGTTCTATTCAATCCAATGATACAGAGTTTTCTATACCGCATATTTTGTATATAATATCATATTCTGTTTAGAAAACTTTGTGGAGCACAATTCCGTTTTCGGTTTATGTTTATCTTTATTAGTTTCCGAGATATTTGATACTTAAGTTGAGTTGAAAGTAAACTTTGTACTTAAATGTGCCTACAGGGTGAAGGATTAAAGCTATTAAGTTGTAAACTATATAAATATGGTAATTAAAAGCTAACTAATGGTTTTATTAGTTTTTAAAAATAATAAAGCAGTGAATAGAAACGCGCCTCCACCAATTTTATCGCGTGAATATTTTAATTAACCTGAAATTAATAGGTTATTTGAAACCAATATTTTGCTTCCAACTAATTAAAATTGGATTAAAAGTAGTAAAATACAGTACCCAATTAGGCATAATTAAATTACATTGTTTACTCCAAGAAAAATATTTACTACAAAAAATATGTGGAATTGTTTTACGCTTTTTGCTCTTAAAATACAAAAATAATTGCGCAAATGAGCTAATTTCATCTGAAAAAAAAAAGATATACGCTACAACAGCACCATTAAAAGAAACCAGCAAAAAATCTCTCAATTCTACTCGTAGCCCGCTCAGAAAACAAAAAACTTCATTACGATCCGAATTTATCACGGCGATTATTTCGAAGGACCTGGGAAACAAGTTCGCCCAAGTTCAACTTATGCAGGCTAACCAAAAAAACCATCTTCCATGCCATATGATTTACTTGTTTTCAAACAGAAAAATTGAATTACCCAAAAATATATATCGCTGCAGACGAAAAATTAATGATATTGCGAAAGTTTGCTCATTCACGATGAGAAACCGGCAAAAATCGGCGCCAAGCAACACAATAAACAAACACAAACGCACCAAACTACTGCAGCAGGATAATGTCCTTATTGCAATACCATGTTCATGTTCAATGAAGCATCAATGCTTCAATCGAAGCGGCATGTTACATATTCATGCGAATATTGTGTGACAATTTGTAGTTACACACTTGTGTAAGGACAATTGCCAGGATTATAATTCTGTTTTACGCTCGGCTAGCCACATACACGTACATGGCAGGAACAAATGAAACGCCATTTTTATTCGCACCTTAATAACCTCATCCGGGCGTCCTTGTCATACGCGTTTGTTTTTGTTTAAAGCCTGCAGCACTGCACCACTACACGCAATGCTTTTTAATCGTCCAAAGCAGGAGATGTTCGGATGTATTACGTACGTGGCGCGAGCAATTAAACCCTTGACAAAGATTACACACGTAGCGGCACGTAGCCGCCATATTTTATGCTCGCGCGCATACACCTATATCTATAGAAAGAAGGATAATTCAGTTTTATGCCTCCATCGCCGCATACGAGGCTCCCAAGTTGATGGAGAGGGCTTTCCAACCACCAGCAACCAGTGTAATATATAGAAGTGGTATTCCGGAGCCATGATAACATCGGCATTATTAAAATTGTCCGCCCGGCGGAAGTCGAAAACGTTGATAGCGGCGTCCCAGGAAGGTGTACCAAGGTTTATAGTCTCAGGAATGTTTTAAAAATTATTTTTCGCGTTTCGGTAAAATTTTCATCACTTTTTCCACGGTTTAGGGATATTAAATCACAACCAACCAAAACCGTGACTAAAGTTGTGGTTAAAGTGTCACTTAGCGCACTTGTTATTTAATTTAATATTATTTTACATTAAAATTTTTATAAAAAACAAAAGAATGATTTTGAAAGCTTAAATTGCATTTCCAAAAAGTTTCGCAAGCTGTACAAAAATAATTAATTAACTTTTCAAAGTCTAAAGTTGTTTTTTCAAGTTTACAATGAAATTCAACGTGAAATTGTTTTAATGTTGCGCAATAATTCATGTTTTCTTGCATCGCACGCTACCAACACCTGTATTAGAATTTCTGAAACAGCAAAAAGCAAGTTCTGGGTGAATTAATGACAGCGTGTCATCACTAATTGCCTTTTAAGCGTTTCACCACAGTTTCGATGAATGAAACCGAAGACGATATGCGCGCATTGTTTCGGCGTACTTTTAATAACATTTCGAGACAGCGCCGTCATAAATTCCCATAGTTTTTGAAAGTAATTTACGACGGACGCGGAAATTAACATATTGCGTGAATTATTACCTCTTTCTCCTCCGCGCGCAGCGAAAAGTTGGAGTTGAGAGAAGTCAAATAGGTATTAGCCACCTACATTAAGCAAACTTCGCCAACTTTCGAAAACATTAGTTCGCAACGCCTTTCAGTTCAAGTTTTGACTTTGTTTTTCCATCGCTGGTTTTATTTTTTCATACTCAACACACTGGCAGTTGGAAGCGCGTGAAATTTATTGCAAACGACGTGTTATGCGTTTGTTTTAAATGCATAATGTTATTGATCGCGGCGCGCTTGGTGCGAAAAAACAACTGTTTCGATGATTCGGTTGTGGCGCTCCGAAAAGTTCCGCAGCGCCAGGCGCGAGCAGTGCGTTTCCGGTCGTTAATAAATTATAGTGGATGGGATTTGTTTCGGGGGATTACACGATATATTTTTTTGTTTGCGATATGCACGAATACAAAAACCCAGTGATATCCGCGTGTTGGCTCAATGAAAACGGGCGTGAGCGGCTAGACGGAACGAGGAAGTCGTGTGCGCCGCTGATGTAGGTTTAATTTAGTAAATGTATGAGGTGATGAAGTACATTAGGCTAATGTAGCGTGCGAAATGAAGCTCAAACGACGGGAAACGGCCGGAATCGCGTGGATACCTGCGCGTTTATTTTTGCCATGAAATGGAGATGCTGTGTTATTTTATCCACGAGAATACGCAAAATCTGACATTTTTCGTGTTTTTTTTTGTGGAGCGTATCAAAGATACTTGTTTTATACATACACCTATATCATAAAAGGGGTGAAATTTTGTAAGGCCGAAGGTGTAGGTGTTTCGAAATGCTTTTTAGATAAATTACATGATTGCACAGCGCAGGATTAATAATTGGGGATATTTTACGCTTTTTATTAAACATTTCAAAAATATTATCAGTTTTCCGGCCGCAAATTGGACACATTACATACGTGTTATTATTATTTGTGGTTTAACGGCTTCGTGGCGCTAATATTTATGTTTTATAGCTTTTGGATCGATGAACTTTTTAGTGGCTGGTTTTATAACAAAACTCTATTATTGCAAGCAAAACATTTTTCAAAATTGCTAGTTTAGTGTCCTGGGAATCGTAAAATTTCAAATAAAAAATAATTAGACTGTAAAACAAATAAATAATATTAATTCTATTTTTACTTTTAAAGCACGGTTTTTAGGCATAAAAAGTGAAATTTAAATCACCCACTGCCAAATCCGTGACTAAAGTACTTTAGTACACTAGATACTTAATATACGATTTTAATATAATATTGAGAAATAGTTTTTTTACATAATATTTTGTTTTATGGACCTATTACGTCTCAACTTTGTCAATTAAATTCAAAATTATTATTTAAAAAGCTAAAAAAATGCTAATTACTGAATATCTTTTTAAATAAAAAATATTCTATGTTCTCCACAATACTCTTAAAAATATGTATATAAAATTTACTAAAAATCAATTGAGTAGTTTCCAGGTGAATGCGTAACAAGCAATCAAAATCACATTTACACATAATATTTTAACAGATTCATTGTTTTCCCATTCTTAAAACGCAATATTCTCCATGTTTTTCAATTTCAGGTGACCAAAATAATAAATCCTCCCAATATCATATTTAAAATCAATAAAATTCACCTCCCTTTGTTTCTTCGGTGCGTTCACACGTTTCGCCCACGCCCAGGTTAGAACGCCAGAGAGGATGTTCATAAAGCATTCATGCACGCATGAAAAACGGAGATGATATCAACAACCGAATATCATTGAATGCCCGCATCCCTTAAACTGTTGTGCGCAGGCCGTGTATAAATTATACGCCAAGCATCATTGAATTATTTATGGCTGCAGAGGGGTAAATAATAGAGTGTAGTTGCTGCACGCCGAGGTCAGCATCTGCCAAAACACACAAACTTTCTTTCTTTCCTCACGTCCGCAGTTTCGTCGATTTTTTGTTCTCCTAACGCAGCATATGCGTGTGATAAGCGCGAAAAGATGTCAATTATGAGGAATGCATTTACTTTTCTTGTTTTATTGCTGAAAGGATGGTACCAGACGACCTAATGGCATGCCTTGTTAGAGCTTCTAATGCCATTAAGCGCACGATGTAGAATTAACTAAATTTCCCACTCGCACACTGGGCGTGGTAAAAAATTAACCAAAAAGTTGTAACGTAACAATCGCGGGGGAAAAAACCTGTTCGCTCTCGAGAATGGTTATGCTATGCGTAATGTAGGCAACTGAAACACTAACGACGAAATCATTTATCAGTCTGGTGTGCTTACAAAAATGTAATACACGCAAACACGGGCACTTAATGCCATTCGCGGGAAATTGCGAACTTAATCCGATTTTCCAACCTTCCGAACAGCGCTAACAAAGGAAATATTACAGAATATGCAACAAACACAACCTAATAATACAATACACAATAGAGACACAGAAAACAAAGAATATTTTTTAAATTAATTGAGTTTCCATGCGCAAAAATGAATAAAAAATTTGTAAGTAAATTTTGCTTACAATATGTGTACACTTGTGGATGTAATGTATGCAACCCAAATGACTAATGAGAAAATCATTCGCTTGCTCAAAACTAGC